CATCGAATGCAAAGACCCATCCATTCCAGTCATTCATCAGCTTCAGTGTTTCGAGATCAGCATGCGGGGCACATATTGCGCTCATGTAGGCAATATCGAGCCTACTCCAGACGGTCGCTGTCTTGTCGTTCATGCGCAATGCACTGTATAATAGGGCTGTTAGCGAGCAATGTCTCAAACATTACCGAGATGGAGGGAGCTGAACCCTTCTCCCAAGTGAAGTGAAGTCGACTTACGTTTTCAGCCATTCGTCTGATAAAGCTTTCGATGTCTTATACAAGGGATTGACTTCTGGTTCCACTGCCATAATTGACGAAAACAGCGCTTCTGGAAGCTTAATCCAGTGACCCTCGGGTTCGGCGCCGTTGACCGGGTACTGACAGGCATCCTTTGGTAGTGTGGCTTCTCCAGAGCGGCTTGGAGGCGGTGTGATTAGGCTGGGTACCATTTTGTGTATGATGATTTTCGTTTAGGCCACAAGATAAAGACTCGGACTGACTTTGGGGTAGCGAACGAGCTGTTCGCCTACATGAACGATGATTAAAGCTAGGTAGGCCTGGTAGGGGACTGGCTACTTTTTGAAAGCGAGTGGGAGCGGAAGATACGGGGTTTAAGGGACTTTGCAACTCCACCACTGAGCTGCATGTTGGCTGTTGGTTGATACTCACTAGAGCGAGCTCCGAACTAGTATGTAGGCCTGATTCTTGTATCTGGTCTGTTGGTCCGGTTTGATTACAGAGGGAGGGAGTGTACGGGCACGACGCTAGAGATGGCCTCCGAGGACGGTTCCGTCTGCGTGCCGGGGATGGTTCCTAGGGGCAGTCTAGACCAAGTTAGTGGAGAGGGGGGGCGGGGATGTAATAAAAGTGGGAGCTTGGACAGGGGGGTAGGGAAGAAAAAGAATTGCCTGCTCTGAACCGTCTTCTTGGGTTTATCCTTACATATTGTTGACAAGCAGTGCCGAGAGTGGACTGCCACGACCTTCCCGACACATCGACGTGCATAAGATACGCGAACGAACCAACAACCAACAGACGGACAAACCAACAGCCCGTCACGGAGGTTCGCATTAATTGACTGTCCATTACGCTGTATTGCATTACGGCGTAACTAGCTACCCACGGGGGCCTCACCATACGAAAATGGCATCCGAATTACGACGACCAAGGATCAATTACTCCAGATTGAGCACCTCCAAAGACGAGGTCCGTTTCTTGGAGATTGAACCTGCAAATACAGTCAATGACCAAGTCGTCTGTCGCCTCGTCACTCTCCCCTTAAGCCGAGACGTCGAATTCATCGCCATCTCCTCATTGCTCGGCGACCCCGCAGACCAAGACAGAATCATTCTCGACCGAAGTCCCATTCCCGTCCCCGTCCACATCGCCCTCGCCCTCAAACATGTCCGAGCCGTATTCTACCCCGCCGTCAGCAAATCGAGCGAGAGTCTGGGCAGGGAGAGGAAATCACCGAATTGGCTGAGGAACCTTCTCAGGCATTTGGGCGGGAGAGAGGTGGACAACAGGCCGAAGCTGCGGGTATGGATCGACTGTATCTGCATCAACTCGATGGACTCGAGGGAGAATTCCAAGAGCAGAGTCATCATGTACCACGTGTACCAGCGCGCGCAGATGGTAGTGGGCTGGGTGGGACTCAAGATACCGCAGACTGATATTGGGATCCAGCTCATCCAAGCATTTGACAGTGCTATGCCCGAGACGTGGCAGGAACCTGGCGACAAGGAGGAACACCCCGAGAACTACTCACCCCATCACGAGTGGGCAATTCCCATTATCCACTTATTCGACCCCCAAGCCGACTCTGCCATTGGAACTGCAGACTTTCTCAACAGGAACTTCTTCCACCGGCGCTGGATCCTCGAAGAGATGGCCATGGCCAGGGTGCCGACCTTTTTAATTGGTGATGCAATTGTCTCGTGGAAACAATTACTACGACTGAATCTTGCCATGGAGGAGTTCAAGGATCACGAGTCAAACGTCTGCCCCGCATCTACAAGGCCCTTGATACACGAGTTTCCATTGGGCACGATCCATGCATTGCTGGATGAGTTTGAGAAGAGGAAAAAGATGGCCAAGATGGAGTCACTCAACAGCACCTCTGTCACAGGAAGTGTCACGAGCGCAGACTCGATAAGCCACCAAGACTCCAACACGAGGTCGATACCATGAACAAAAGGTTACGGAGTAGAAGGGATATCCATGTTTTAGCAGCCTTGATACCGCTTGATTTCTAGCTAGCACTTACGAACTTAGTTCACGTTTCTTATGTTTCAATAAAAATACCAATTCGTTTCTAGAACCAATAAGTAAGTGGCATTCAGAATGGATCCCCGGTGATAACGCGGAGTAGCATCAAGTCAGTTGGCGCTGGTTGATGACCACTATCGAGTGTCCACATGAAACGTTATGGCTTGGGATAATTAGGGCCATGCAGCTCAATCGCACTCGTTCTAGTTTCCGATCGAAGATGCCTTTCTGAATCATCGTCGAAACTTGTATGAAGCATGTTAATCAAACTCAATGTTGATTCCATGCGCTTTGGCTGCTACACCTTCTCTTCTGATGATACTCTGAAGGTTACAACAGCGCCTGTCACTAGAGCCAGAACCTCGGTACCGCCAAGCTCAATGCTACTTCGATTCCAGAAACAGGGTCGTATCATGCTTCAAGCCTTCCTCATCAGCACAAAACACTGGAGAAAGGTAATAACGGCCACTAGAACAAATGAGGTCAGGATACCGAGTAAAAAGGTCTCAACCATGCAAAGAGCTGGTGAGAATTACGCAAACCACCACCATTACGGGCTACCCTTCACTGATTGCATCAGGTGGCTAACCCTGAGACTAGCCCGTACAGTAATAATCCCTAGAGCAACGGTTTTCTTCAGTGGCACGAATTGCTTCTAGCTGCGGGCTGGCGGGCGAGGCTTAGTGACGGACCCTTGACCTTGCCAGAATGATATAGCTTCGTTAGCATTGGTTTAACATCTGATACTGACTCGAACCGGTATGACATGACGATAAAGTGGCAATTTGTGTCTTGTGCGATGCTTCACTGATCAACAGACGATTACAAGCATATCAAGCCAAATCAGAGCCCGACACGTCTCTTTGCTGCCATTCAATTCCGTCTGTCCAAGTCTTTGTAGAGACCGTTACGTTGCTAGCCAGGGACAGGGTTTATGACTGGGGCAAATTTGCTCTAGTGCAAACGGCTCTGAAAATAGCATGACCATTCTCTGGTGGCTGCTGTTTAGTGCCGAGCTAATGATAGGTAGTGGTATGAGGAAATGATAACGAGGGGGCAATTCTGCGATCGTTGCGAATTGACGCAATCTGTTTTAATATTTAAACGTATTCAGTACGATTAATTAACCCAATCTCCTTAGATTAGTATGCCACGCGACGTACGTATACAACATACGCGGAGTCACTGACAACATGGGCATATCCAATGTTACACCACTAAAGCACCTGTCAAAGGCAGCCCGCAAAATATGCCCGCAATCTGTATCTTGCTAATGTACCGCCTGCAAGAGGCACTCCCGGATCCTCTCGCTGGGAACAAGTGGGTATCAGCACACGTTACTACAATCAAGCATAGGCTCAATCATACGCCCTCGTCTAACTAAATAAAATCACTCATCAACGATGGACACACAAACCCAATCCCCATCCCCATCGCCGCTGTAGAGTAACATGGCCTTGTCTAGTGTGCCCTGAAAATCCAGGCAGTAACCTTGTAGACCGTCCTTTTGTGGTTTGGTGCGTGCTGCGACATGAGTATTACGAATACTTTAGAACTGCTAGTGGCCCTTCTGCAATTTGTTGTTTAGCCCCGGATAGACTCCGGTCCGCTCCCGCACGTGCCGTTGAGTTTTATATTAACTCGGTTCTGCTCCAGAAAGGCATGTGCCTGAACTGAACTGAATGTTAGTGTTTGTTGTTGGTTCCAAAGCTACAACTCTCACCGGAACCGCATGCATACTTCTTCGAACTTTGTTGGGTTCACCTTGCTTCATGCTGAACTTGCATCTTCCGAAAAGTCGGCAATTGGCTGCCAAGTCATCAGTTGCAGTAGCGTTGACGTACCCAGTCGTAACGCCGAGGCAAGCTCATTTTGGCCACTGGACCGGTGATATATCACATTTCTGCACTTCTCGCCTGCCATGTGGATAAGCGGGATCCACGAGTTTTCTCGCCCTAGCGGTCGACAAAATATTTGGGACTCAGATTAGTGGTAGTTGGCGGCATCTAGTGGAGGCCAGTCTGACGTTTTCTGTCAGACAGAGGTCAGCTAAGATATAGACAGCGGCAATCCCACGTTCACGATGCACGACCGACATGTCGATCCATCGTCTGACATGTCGAGTATCGAATGAGGGAATATTCAGCGTTTAGATATGCGTAAGTTGTTACCTAGTCTAGTATAGTGAGCGCTGCATGTGTAGTTATCTTTTACAAAAACAATCCATCTGATCTGATCTTCCATCCTATCAATTCGTGAGCCTGATTTTCTCGGAGCGATGAGTCAAAGGCCGACTAGGACTTTCGGAGCGAGTCCTCCATGACTTGGATGGTCTTTTGAGTGGATTCCAGCCCCTCTCGAGCCTGCAGATATGCATCTTCCTTCTCTTTAACCTCTTGAGCCATTCGCTTGAGCTTCTTTTTCATCTCTCTTACCAATGATTCCTCACTCCAGTCATTATCTTTTTCCGACCTCGACCTTTTCCTAACGCTGCTCTCTGCTGACGAACCCTCTGATAATGGTTCCGCGGGCTGTAGCTCATCAGGTAAGGCTGGCGTTGAAATTGGATGAGACAATGATTGCTCTTCCATTCCGCCCGACTCGGCCGATGAGGTTGAAACATTCGGATTGTGTTTGCAAACTCGAAGATGTCTATTTAGGTTGTAAAGACGTTTGAAGGGAGAGCCCTCCTCGGACCTCTTGCAGCCTCTGTTCGGACATGAAAACAACTCTTCAGGGCTGGGTACTGCCTCCTTGTGCGCTTCTGTCTGATGTCGGCCGAGAGTAAATGACGTTGCGAATGTCTGCTGACATTTCGGACATGCAAAGTAAGAGGTGCTCTTCTGGCCACTGTTTGCATTTGAGTTTAGTGCTTGATGTGACGCCACGTAGGTTTTTCGTTACGTATCCAGTATTTTGAATTCCCTGGCCAGCCGATGCAACGTTAACCATTGGATTGAATGGCTCTTGGCGGTCTGCTTCTCCGTAGGTCTGTAGTATCGGATCTGGAGTGATAGCAGCTGGTAGCGCTCCAGTGAGGTCTTCCTTCGCGGACGTTTCCGCGATCCCTACACTGGTCCTCTGCAACGCGTCCAAGAACAGAAAGTCTGGATCTTGGGGAGCAGCTTGGACTGAGTAAATAGGATCGGTGGTGACATCCTCGTCATAGAACAGGAAACTATCCATAGCAAGGTGCTGATCAAAGCTTGTAGTACTAGGTTCGGGCATAAGAACGCTCTACAGGCCAACTGCTAACTGTTAGAAGTGTCTAACTAAAGAAATCAAGACATCTTACGTTCGAACTAGGCTGGACCAGAGTTGTCAAGGAAGTCATAGGCAGCTGGAGCTGGTGAGAACGTCGGGACAGGCGCTTTAAACTTCTCTGGCTCAAGATCACCAGGGCCGATGATGAACATCCAACAAACACCCCATAGTACCAGCAATGCAGGTAATATAGTCCAGGGCATTGTCGTACATATATGCCGCATATTATTGAGGAACTCAAATATTATCAGAGTTTGACGCGTTCCTGCATTTCAGTTCCTCATATGCGGATCTAAATCTCAAGTTCAACCGTGTAATGATCGACGTGATCAAATTAAACAATCCCGTAAGAATCGTGTCTGTGAAATCCAGTAACGAACTGTATTTACCGAGTATGTCGGAGAGAGCGCTGATCAGCTGAAAGAATTCGACAAACCGTACGCATGAAGGGGAACCTTTTGTAGATTGCAACAGTGGATGTAAGCGACTGCTGAGTCGGCAGAAGCTCTGTGAGCGTAGAGACACTTCGGACAGAAGCGCTCCAAGTTCGTGATCATGCGGTGTCTTGGGAGAAGAGAGGTTGGAGGCAGCACCATTCTCAAGCATTAACGTGCGATGGAGCGCAACGAGATGCTGCCATTTTTCAGGGGTGAGGCGTCCCTCGGTAGACTGAGCATTGTCGACTTCAATGCATTTTGTTTCCACCATAACGAGGCCGGCATAAATACCTTTAACCTCAGCGACCAGCTGTTCCTGGGTGATAGACAGAGTCTCTGGTTGCCGCATCATGTTTGACTCACCCCTAGGGGCTGGGTTTGGAAGGGTATCGTTTCGGGATGTGTCTTTTGCAAGGCGCCTTGGGGTGATTGATGGGCTATTGCTGTTGCCGCATTTGCTTAGTGATGCCAACTCAGGAAGCCTTGCTCGGTAGCGCCTTGGAGGAGTCTCATACTAGGAGTCCACTGCTTGCTCTGGCAACATATAGATGCCCATGTCGGCTTTTGTGTATGCTCTGCGAGGCCTGTGCTGTACTTTTTGATAAGTGTCAGAGTCAGCCACGGGCGTAGCAACTCTCAAGTCATTAGTCTCTACTTCATCTATTTCAGACGACAGGTAGCGTCTCGAGAGTGGCTGCGCTCTGCGTGATTGAGTTTGTCGCAGACATTCCGGCTCCTCTCCGTCATCTGGATCATGGTCAAGCTGGGGATTGGCCATGGCGGATGATGCGGTAAACTCTGCCACAAGTATTGTAGAATAAAAAGAACGTTGATACAAGAGAGTTTCGTACTAAAAGACCAGTTAGCTGAGGCAGTATCGACCTTTTTGAAAGACTGAATGTCTGGGGTGAGATCGAGGTTGATGAGTTTGAGGTGCATTTCGGGGTGCAGCGGGTTTGGTTTTGGGGTGCGAGGTGAGGAAATCAGCAAACCAGTTGCTTTACAGGACATAGCCAATCAAGAATCTTCATCGAAGCCTCATTAACCCCAAGCCCTGAAACGTCGGTCCTACAAGGGACGCAATTGGCCTTTCGTGTTGGGCATGTTCCTCCAGAGACATTGGGTCGCAATCTGGCGAATATCGAGCTGCGCGATACTATACTTAGATACTTCAGGGTGAAAATAGAACTTTCCATATAGAAACTATTGGCCAGCTCATAAAGCGATGTACAAAGGCTGTATGGCCTAGAGATCTACTACACAGGCTTCACCAACAAGTAGCAAACAATAACGAGATATGCCACCAAAAAAATGATCAGCAATTTTTCACGGTCCAAGCTCTACAGCATGCTTCTGATCAAAACATTATGATCAAGGTCGACTGCGGAGAAATGATCTAAGAGATGACCATATTAATGTAGTGGTTAGATTCATAAAGGGGCTGCAAGATTACATACATGAAAGGTATTGATGAGAACCCATTGTTCGATTCCCTTGACGGCACCTTGGTAAATGTAAGTTCGATTTCATGACGACAAAGCACATCGACTAAACCCTTCCATCTAGTGAGCACAAGCTCCTCTCTTACAAGCCACCCAGCCTACTGCAGGCGCAGTCGCTCAGAGTAGACGTGAAAGGCGTACCGAGGCCTCCTGTGATGATGTAATGATGTAACCGCATTCGATCTTATGAGCACCAAAGCACTGCCCATGTGGTGCAGGACAAGCGATATCCTGAGGAGGTGCCGCAGCCTCTGTAGTCGTGGAGGCCGCCTCAGTGGTGGTCTCAACCGATGTCAAGGTTGTCGCGGCACAGATTACCAATGATTCGATTATAATAGTCCTTGTTGGCTCGGACGTCGAAGTCTCGCTGGATGCGGCGGCGGACGTTGTCTCGAGGAGCGGGGCAGTGATAGATTTTTCACAGAAAACGACAGAAGAGCTTTGGGGTTTGCGAGGTCCAGCTACAGCAACGGAAATGACCATAGAAAGCATCAAACAAGCAAGAAGTGAAGTTGACGGTTAAAAAGAACGAGCCGGATTTACCCAGTCTTTATTTATCTTTTAGAAAAGTCTCATTTTCACGTAAACACTAATGGGGATGCTTTATTATAGTAGGAACACAGTTATAGAATCGAATTTGACAGGTCAATAATCCTCATCCGAGACTGATAGGCTAGAAGCCGGCGAGAGACATTTCCTTGCAATCAAGACCCATTTGCTTCGGCAGATAATGCCACCATGTTCGGTTTCTCACCGCTCGCTCAAAGGCTCGTACTTCCTAGTTATGGGGAAATACCCAGCCTTTCTTTATAGGTAAGCTCTTCATGAAGCTGTGCACCCTCTTTCGCCAGCCGATCGGCTTCAGTGTTCCACTCCCGCGGAATCTTCCAAAGCTGAATCTTGACAGCGTACTCATCCCAACGCTCTACCTCCCCAAGAAAGGCCTGCCACATTTCCACATTCCTTACGACCGCCCCGTCACTTTTCCTCCAGCCCCTCCGCAGCCATGCTCGGATCCACTCTGTTGCACCTTTGACGACATATTCTGAGTCAGTTGCCAGGACAAGAGTGGTGAAACCTTCGCTTGCCCAGTTCCTGTAACGGAGAGCGCCGATGATAGCTCGAAGCTCTGCTCTGTGGCTGGTTGGGTGGGCATAATCGCCCAATGGACCCTGATTCTCCAGACGCTCGTTTACACTCGAAGTGGTGTTTCGTTCTTGAGGCCCGAAGACAAAAGCCCATCCTCCCTTAGGCTCAACTTGTCCGTTACCAAGGCATGCACCGTCGGTATAGATAAGAAAAGACTTTGGATCGTCCACTCGAATAAATCGTGCCACAGGTGGGTGGGCTTTGCGGCTGTCGCCTGCGGGAAACAGGCTTTGGGGAGTTGCCGAAGGGGGCGGTACGAAGACTGTTGGTAGGACTGATCCTCTACCTATAGACATTTCCATGCGGCGGATGGGATCCAGCCTCTCAATATCTAGAGAGCCAGCGTGGTCGAGATCGTCTTCATACTCTTCTGGAAGTCTCACTCGCCCTTCGATTGAGTCCTCGTCAACGACGTCATCCATGAAACTGTAGTCGACGCAGCAGCGTCCGTAAACGACCAAGCTATGAGTGCCACAGACCAAACGGCCATCAGCTAATTCAACTGGTGAATCGGGGGCCCAACTCATGTCGATGAAGTCTATCCTATGAGATGAATGGTTTGCCTTGGTGGGAAAAAATACGTCTCGACATGGAGAAACTCGTGCCTTGGATATGAAGCTTGAAGTTTAGCACAGAATGTTGCGTGTCCAATTGAAAGATAAATTTCAGCAGATAATCGGAGAATGATAACTAGTACTACTAGGATGATGCAGTTGAGTAAATCATTTTCAGATTAATAGGTTGCTAATAATCTCTGCTATTTAATGCTGTAGGCTTCGGCAGCCTGTGAAATCAATTTGGATGGAGTGTGCTAGGTTAGATCAACGGTCACACTGGGGGCACATGGTGTTAGCCTTCTAACAAAGTGACTTGAGTGTAATGGGAAGTTGAGGTGGAGCCCAAAGTACTCCGACATAGGTCAGGCGCAGGTGGTCACACGGACCGTTCTCGATGAGCGTAGGGTAATCACTCAAATATTGGAGCTTCTATAGAAACACCAAAACCAATGACATTATGAAGAGGCGTAACTCATGCTTAGCTCTGTAGTGATATAAACCGTTGGGTCAAGTGTTACTCGCTTCAATATACAAACCCCATTATTCTTGCGAAAGTGGCCAGTAAGTTCTGTCGGAAACTTCTATCACGAGAGTCGTTTTTCGAAGAGCGGACGATGAAACCTCCGTGGATACTTGTTCCTCCGACAGGTCAGGTCACCTCGCGGCAATCATTGGTCAACCCCAGACCCTCCAACCCTATCAACAAATAAATAGATATTCATTGATAATCGTGAAAAGTATCCCAGCATCATCAGCCGGAGTATGATAATATTCCGGTATAGATAGGAATATCAAAAGACACTTTGAAGGCGACTACTCAATGTCTATAGGGTACTAGCCGCGAGCAAGCCGAGACAATGGTGCATTGGCTTAGATGACAGCGCTCTATATTGTAATGAAGGGAAATTGAAGGAGGCGTGATGAAGCTTCGTGGTACTAACTGCAAGCCCATATTAAATCATGAGCTTGGCGATAGCATCTTCCATAGATATTCTCTCGTCACTCCGAAGACCCCAACGGACGTTCTCCAAAGCCTTTAACTGAATCAAGTAATGGCAAGCGTCTCAACCCCATCATCAACATGCACCTTCAACAGCTATGTTGCCCCTCCGCACTCCAATGGCGGCCTTTTCTTCCTCCGCCACTAAACCACGAGAGTATGAGGCGTCGAGGTCTGGACTGGATCTAGCAAATGTTGATCTGGGGGAATCCGGGGCCCCAGGAAAATCACCCATGCAAAGGTTCTGCCCCTAGCCACGAGACCCAAGATATATAACATGCCAGACCACTCGCTCCATTCTTGGCTTCCTCAGCACTTTACTCATCTCTACAACCTCTTGACCATTCATCATGACTGCTTATTCCAAGCGCGGAAGCATCGAGCAAAAGCCTAAAGACAACTTTGTCGAAATGTCTGTTGCTGATGGAGCTGAGAAGCCTGGTGTCCTTGTTGACCCTGAGGCTGACTACTCTGGTGCTGTGAAGAAGACAGACCCAGCTGAGATTCGTCTTGTTCGCAAGTTGGACTTTCGCATCATGCCTACTCTTTGGGCCATGTACTTCCTCAACTACGTGAGTCTGATATCAGCTGTCTGGTAGACTATGCTGATGTTGGTAGCTTGATCGAAATGCCATTGCCCAGGCGCGACTGAACGGTCTTGAGGATCATCTTGGCCTCAAGGGAACACAGTACAACACGTGTATCTCGATCCTTTTCGTTGGGTATGATGTATGCCTTCACCTCTCATTGCGAAAAGACTGACCTTTGATAAGTTACTTGCTCATGCAGATCCCATCCAACATGCTCATCTCCTCGAAAAGCGTCCGACCCTCTCTGTACATGTCCATCTGCATGATGGGCTGGGCTATCGTGTCTGCTTGCACCGCCCTCGTCAAAGACTACAAAGGTCTCGTCGTTGTTCGATTCTTCCTCGGTGTCGCTGAAGCCCCCTTTTATCCAGGCGCCCTTTACCTACTGGCGATTTTCTATACACGAAAGGAGATTGCTATGCGACTATCGATTTTATACTCCGGAAACATCTTTGCAACATCCTTTTCCGGTTTGATCGCTGCGGCGACATTTGGCACGATTGATGGACACCACGGTCTCAAGGGTTGGCAGTGGCTTTTTATCATTGAAGGTGTCTTGACCTTTGCTGTTGGCATTATTGGAACCTTCACTCTGGCTGATAGTCCCTTGACGACTCGGTGATTGACCGAAGAAGAACGACAACTTGCACACGATCGAATGCTACGCGATACTGTTGGTCTGGAGGAAAGTAAGGGAGCTCGAGCTGGATTTTTCCAAGCTATTCGTGATCCTCGCCTGTGGCTCTTCTGCTTTATCCAGAACATGCATCTCTCTGCTTGTTCTTTCAACAACTTCTTCCCTACTGTTGTCGGTTCCCTCGGGTTCAACAGCACCATCACTCTGGTCCTGACTTGCCCGCCCTACCTCGTCTCTGGTTTCTTTGGATACCTTGCAGGATGGTCTTCTGGTCGATTCAATGAGCGAACTTGGCACATCACTGCCTGTATGGGAATGGCACTCGTCGGATACATCATCTCCTGTGTTACGCTCAATACGCCTGCCCGATATATTGCCTGTTTCTTGTTCGCCAGTGGTGCATATGCAGTCAACTCGATGATCCTTGGCTGGGTTTCCGCAACGCTTGGCTCTACAGCTGAGAAGAAGTCGGTCAGCTTGTCAATCGTCAACGTTATCGCTAACGCCTCGTACATCTACACTGCGTATCTGTACCCAAAGTCAGACGGCCCACGATATCTCATCGGAATGGCAAGCAATGCCGGATTTGCGACTATGTGTATTGCGACCGTTTGGGCCATGAAGATCTGGCTTGTTAAGACCAACAAGAAGCTTGATCGGGAAGGAAACACATGCGCTACACGGTACGCTTACTAGAACCTGGCCTGCCTGGGTATTCACGTAGATCAAGCTTGTTCAGATAGTGAATCATGCCATTTGTCAAACTTATTACTACAGTCTCAATGGTCCTTCGTCAGTTTGTTAGCGTCATGAACAAGTACATGGTATCTCAATACATCCCTTGGTATGCGCACCGTGAACCAGGATCAGTATCGATGCAACATTGGTTGGTAGAGACCTCTAGAAGCCTTTTATCCTGATAGGCTGAAACTACGACTCTGTGAATGAAACGCTCAATACTTCTCATCAGAGCGATCTAATCCGTGACGCATGGCTTACCCTAATTGATAGATCCAGCAAGCAGCATTGATTCAAAGTTGATGCAAAGGCGCATCACCGCAGTGAACCAAGCTATAAAGGTCGAATAGCGGCGAGCATCTTCTCCCAACATATTTCGCACCAACTGCATTCCACTGGGCATAGAGCTCGTCACAACTCCCTGCATTCTACACAAGTCTCCGTCGCAATAACTCGTCAATAATGGAGCATTATCCATACGACCCCGCTGAGGAGAATCCTGACCGCTCCCCATCCCCCCAGTCTCTAAATGCATGGGCGGGGAATACTATGGAAATTAGAAACACTCCCGACGGCCGTATCGAATTTCAAATAAGTCTGTCCAACTGGCCCTGTTGTACCTTTGAGTACATAGTGCCCTTAGATGCGGCAGACAAGGAGCAGCTGGTCCAGCAAACCCTTTGGGAACGGAAGCATATGATGAGCCAGAAGGTTCAGATAGAAATGGATCTTTTCACTGGCCGTCTACTTGATGATGATGGTTTTTTGCGCCAACTGAGGCAACTTGCACAGCTATCGCATGATATGTTGATAGGCGAGCTTATATTGCATTGCGCTAAACGCTGGCCTTATGAGGCTGCCTTGGGACATGGTTACAGGCGTTGGATGATGGGTAGACAATAGTCGAAGACGACTCTCAATATGAGAGTATTGTTTCCTTATCTAGGGAATTTATTCGCTTATTATAGGAATTAGCACTCGTGATATTCTCACGGCATTGGCTATTCAGGCGGGCAAAGAATATTAGTGAAGCTTTCTACGTGCATGTACATTGAGGCTGGAGCTTGTACAACATGGCCGCAGCTGGGCTATAGTCTACTGAGCTCGGAGATCCTTGAACATCATGAGATATTTGTGTTATAATGCCTACCATTCTATTATAATGTCAACAAGCAGGAGCTTGTTCAAGAAGAAATAAACACCATGTGCAACTCGGCGCGTGTGATGGCGCGTGCACTAGTCACAGCGCTCTAATCCCATAGAATTAGGGTTGTCGATAGCGCAGCAACCACTACCAGCTGCACTAAATCGCCTTTATTTTTTCTCCAGTGTTAAATCAACAAACCTCCCGTCCACTTCTTGTCAGCCACTGGCGAATTCGATCAAATGCTTAGCACATACGCACGTAAAAACACCAAAAATACAAAGGCAAAATAAAGCTAATTTGTCCATCGGGTAGGGCGAGAAAGAGAAGAACATGACGAAGGCAGGATTCAACCTACACATGCGTATACAAGACCTCAAGCTATCATGAGCTTATGAAGAACTCCAGAGCCGAGATATCTCAAGTTGAAACGAGACTCAACACCACTATGAAATCGTGGACGATTGATAGCTCCATAATTGATATCCAGAACGACCATGTGCTTCAAATCATAAGTCCACCTCGCCCCTCTGATGTTTCTGTTAGCACTCATGGACAGCATTAGCTAGCCATTGTATGCCCGGCAGACAAACGTAGTGGCCCAATTGTCATGACCCCGATAGAATACGAACCAGAATGAAGCATACCGCCGATATGCACATATGGCGAGCTGTTGAATGACCTAGCTAGTTATGCATCTGTAGAAGACATATTCAACAAGTCCTGCCTTGAGCACTTAACTTCCGCTATGTGTCGTGCTCGGATCTGTCGGATTCTTGTAACGTGGAAAGGATCACCAGCTAGCTCAAGGCTAACTTTGCACTAGAGAATGTGACAGCTCACTTATGGTCTCTAGCGAAACCTCTGCTATCCAACAAGGTGGCTTTGGTGTTATCCTAGGCTACAAAGTATGCTCGTAGATATATCATGTACTGGTGATATGCTTGGTTTGTAAAGACTTGAGAAAACACAGCCTGAAATCACAAACCACCACCTTTGATCTGAAATGCATATGCTCCGACTATCATCGGCGTTCCCAGACCTTTATCTCAAATCGCAACCTGAGACTTTCACTCACACGGCTGACCGAAAGTTGGCAACTGCACAGGGATGGTTGCAAGTTCCAAGATTGATGACTAGCGTTGTCTTGGAGAAGCAATCTATGATCGAGATGACAACTGTGCTTTAATGCTGGCGATGTAGTGCATATGTTGTCTCAGGAGCCAAGGCTGAAAAGTCATTTAAAGACCATCAATTCGTCAATGGATAGTTGGCAACTTGATTTCCGCATTTACTAATTTCTGACTACAGGCACAAAGACGTCAGCCGTGCGGGTCATACCATTAACTCATCCGCCAAGGAACATGAGACATGCAGGGCACTACTGAAAGCATCAAGCGCCAATTGGACATATTCCGAGATGCTGATCTCACATCCTCAACAAACCCCTCATACATTTGCTATTAATGTAGATCAATTGCCTGGCCTCAATGTATCTATTTTGAAGCGGGAAAGATCAACCAGTAGCTGAAAGCTGACATGCAAACTAGGGACCGTCTGTGACGCGTATTCTGTCTAGTCTGTCTCATCGCTTTGACATTGATAGGCGGTGAAGTTATTGGGCATCGTATAAGCGGTAGATTTGGGTCACCTTCTACGATATGAAGCGTGAACAATGGCGGGGAAGTTTCTTGACTTGAAGTATTTATATTGAGGTCGTCCTACACGAAATTCTCTGTTCTCTCCTCATTCAACAGCAGACAAAGCCTTATCCTACAAACACATCCTTACTCAACCTTTACATTCACAAATTCAAGGTACGTCACTTACGTATCTTGATTAGTACTGACTAGCCTCTAACTCTTCACAGATGTCTTCTGCCCCGGGGTTTATCAAGTCTAACGGGTCTGGTAAATTTACCGCTGAATTCGCTATCGACGATGGTGTGTACATCCTTTCGGGCACCGTCAACCCGCCAACTCAGCCTTTCCAAAGCAACTCTGCGACCTTGGAATATAGCTCTGTTGATAACCTCCAGGGGCCTCAGCAGTTCACCGGAATTATCGGAAGTCGCAACGAGGCCTCATTCACGTTTAGCGATGGCACCGCGATCAAGGGGCCTCTTGATATTCCGGTGAATCCTGCGTCTCAAGTTAGTGGAATGGGATTCTGGTCCCAGGGGTAGCCTATCTCGATCGAATTCAATAGGTGACAGATCCCAGTGGGGAGAGGTTGCATAAGAGAGGGGGACTGTATACAAAGTCAAGACCTATTTCGTGGCCACGCATAACATATCAGTCAATGCTACACAATGGTCCTAATGAAACATGCCACTATAATAACACAGTGAAGGTTTAACAGAAATAAGTTTATACCGAATCTGACGGAAGGACCTTCGAGGATGCTAGTTGAACACGTAGCACGCAGGACACTAGTAGGACGGCCAGCCTCTGCCAGCAAGGATCTGCACAGTCCCCCAAGCCAATCTCCTGCCACGATCACGCCTAGAGACTTTCAGATTGTGAAAAGAAATGATCGAAGCCTAGTTGAGAGCTGAAAAAAATCTATAGAATGGCCAAGACCTTGCGTACTATGTATAAATCGCTGCTTGCAATCAATCGGTTTGCTGAATTCGTCTTGCGCTGATGCGACCTTCAACTCAACTCGAATGCGGATGTCCGGCCACCATATCTTCAGCCAATTGTCGAGATTAGGGGATATTCTTTGTATAGTGGTGATACAAAGTCCGAAGACGCTTTTTATGATATATTTCTCATATCAGAGGAAAGTTACGAATGCTGTAAGCTAAGGAAAGTGTGTTTAAGCCACGGCTAATAACAACAACATTATTCACAGTAAGAGTCAACGCTTTGTCAATACTGGGCCAATTTTGAACTGGGACTCATGCATCATGAGTTGGATATCCTCCGCTGTATAGCAATAAATCTCACATCCCACTCGAATGGGTTACTTGATAGCCAGCTGGCGAAGTCTGGAGTGAGAGGGTATACTGGCAACGTAAACAGACATAAAAACACTGCTAAGATTGATAAAATATGACCTGTGAGCTTGACCCTTCCATCCTCTCGTCAGCATAAGAGACGACCCGCTCTTTGAACTCATCAAGATCAAACTTTGTTACCCAACCTTGCTCCTGAAGGGCCTGTACGGCATACACGATCCAAGTCACACAGCTCTGCTGGGGATGCGTGTTCTTTACCGGTAGAGATAGAGAGTGAAACAGGCCGTCTAGCTGAGCAAACGTGACGTCCTCTGGCACTTCTCCGATAATCATACACCCAAGCGGTTTGACGTTCTCATTTGGCTTGACATTTTCCTCGGCTCGGAGCCACCAAGTCATGGTAGGGTTGTGCATTCGGAAAGTAACTGGATTGATCTCGGATACATCGGTGGCAGAGAAAGCGTGGTAGTCTCGTTCCTCGTGACCGTCGGGCATGATGATGATGCCCCAGTGATATGCCTCATAGCCAAAGACTCGCCGCTTGTCCCCGCGAGAGAAGTCGCCCCGATCATACAATGCCACAGCAACTTGCTGTACCATGGCGAACAACTGCGCGTATCAGTCTCCTAGTATTGCGATACAGCGCGGTAACTGACCAGTCGAAAGGCTCATTCGAAGCCTGAAAGCTCTAGGGAACACGGTGGCCTTACCAGAACAGGACGCGGGCGGGCTAAAACTCGATATCCTGGTGCCAGACCAGGTTTTTTCAATGACCAGTATCTTAATCCACGGGTTGCGCCGTCATCAACAGAGATTGGGCTGGAGTTTAGGCGCGCGATATATGAAACTGATCATCTTGGGATTTCTCCGCGTCCAACGTTCAAAGTGGAGTGACGATCGACATCGCGTGCAACGAAGATTCGTCGAGCGCTCACACGTGATCTGGCGCGACAACCAATGAGGCGACGGACAGTTCACTGAGGACTCGAAAAGAGGAAACAGAGTGGGCGTCCAAAAAAGTGAAGTCAGCATGCAAAATATAAGACTGCAATTTCGAAAACATTCCATTGCTGCCCCATTACGAGACAGAAACTTGCACCGTAGGCTTATTGGCGTAGAGTATGGGCTGAGATCAGCCGGAATGGATTTTATGCATCTGGTTTCTGGGGAATTACGATATAGGATTTTCAGCCAGGGCATAGCCTCATGCAGTCATCCAGATTTGTTAACAAAGGTTGGTACGGGGCCCCGGATAAATGACTCTATCCACTAAGCTTACTCGTTCGGAGGATTCTCGCATTCGGGCGTCACCTATAAATGTCGGCTTACTTTATGTCACGCGATACAGTACTTACAAGATCCCTTTATAGCCTCGTATTCTTGCTCTCAACATGAATAGCTCCCGTGGGTCTGTCCCAATGCAGCAGCGGCCGTAGGGGTGTCGCGGTATAGGCTGTTCGTTTCAGCCAGCATTGACAGAGTCGATTTTGAGTGGGGACTTCTATTAAGGGTACTCTGATTGGATTTGGGCTTGAAAGCTTCATTGAGCAATGCGGAGAACGACAAGGGTCATGGCAATGAGAACCTCGAAGCGAAGGCAGAGGGCTGCTTACAGTGGAGGAATTAGGAACTGGCCGATTATTACGTGGCCTGACAGAACATGTATCGATGCTGCAATTTTCGTTTAGCCGAAACATGACGTCGAAGGAAATATAAAGGACCGTCTTGTGCCCAAGTAAATCAAGGCACCAGGCGACAAAGCAACTCCGTCATCGAAGAACATCATCACCAAAACAGGCCTCGTGCATCATGCATTTTCCAGCTATTCTCGCCGGCCTCGCCGCGTTCTCTACCACTGTTACCGCCGCCCCTGCGGAAAAGCCTCACGTTGGTGTCGCTATCCTCACCGTCAACGGACCCGAGGACAGCACTCTCCTCTCAACGTCCCCCTCGGTGTTCTCACCCACCAGAAGAACAATAAGCTCACAGAGCTGGAGTTCGTCAACGTGTACTCTATTGTGAAGGGCGTCGAGCCCCCCAAGATGGATCAGATCAGATGCCAGATGTATAAGGATCAGTATGGCACTGTGCCTATCACCAAGGATCTCACTACGGAGAATGGTGTTGTTAGCAAGAAGCCGATCTACCTTGGATGGGTTCTCTGCCGTGTCAAGGCGCAGAAGTAGGCTGCAGTAGTTGGGTCGTTTACATGTTTTGTTAACCCCATCATGTGATAGGCGGAGCTTTGAGCATCGAAGACAGGACCAGGTCTAATGGCATGAACTTTAATTTGACTACACTCGGAATTATGAGAGATTAGATATCTGCAATTTCGCGTCAGGCTACCCAGTGTACCGTGTCATCAAAATGTAATGACAATCTTAGTCTGCGTCCACATAGTAGTCGTGAACATCGTGAGACCAAGGCTAGAACAGGTCTCGAATATTCATCCGTAGATTCTGATTTCCTGTTATATTCATGTGTCCTAGTAGATGATATGGTAGTGGCCTCGTGATGAAGTTCACGAGTGGCAATGTTTCGCCATAGCAGTTTCAGCAACAATGTTTCCCCAAACATCACGCGTGCACCTCCGTCACAGTGCTCATCATGCTGTTTAGTGTCTGGTAATAGCCTGCTGGTATCCTTCATGTAAGCCATTACTGGGCTGACGGTAACGGCTTTGAGGTCTGAACATTATGCTTCACGAATGTCCAGGCGAGGTTCTCCATCTGTGGAGGTGCTAGGCTGGAGAACCTGATTACTTCGCCGATCTCTGACAAGTCTGAAGTTACGTGCCGGCGGACAGCGTAGGTTAACAGATACGCAAAGCACCAAATTTCCAATGTCGACGATGCTAGTTGTTCAGCAGCAACATTGTCGAGCGCTGCAAGGAGAGTGACGTTGAACACCTGGCGCTTCATGGTCATTGAGTTTGTCATGCTGAGAGAGGTGAAAAGTACGAGCATGATTCTGTAAAGACTGAGAGCAATGTTGGAACCAGGTCAATGCTTCTGGGTGCTTCAACCTCCGGGATTATTTAAACAACGAATAATTACATACTTTTAATGTCTTTGGTGTTTGTCATGAGACAGTGTTGTTACAGGGAGAACCTACACTCAGCTCGTCGCAAAGCGCCAAAGAAAAGACAAATGTTTAACTTGTACCAAATCTCCCTCTGTTGACTCAAGCCATTCCGTCAACTAACAGCAACTTTCTAGGAAGGCTATCGAAACTGCATGCGATAATTCTCCTCGCTGTAAACGCCTGGGCTCCAATTGCAATTCCGTCGTCAACAACATCCAATAGCGTAATTGGTTTAGTGGTAAAATTCTCCGTTGCCATTCGAGCAGCGTCGGGGAGCAGGGTTCGATTCCCTGATATTACGCATTACCGCACTTGAAGCTTTAAGAGTTTCTCTTTTGCCGTTTATAATTCATTTTTGTGGTGTTCTTTTAAATAAGTAAGTAGTAGGTAGAGCTAGAATTGCTTCTATACTAATTATTTAGTAGAACTTCTTGCACCATAACCCCGGACCATTTTAAGAATAACTTGTTAAACATATTACCCACAAGGCCTATTGAAGAACGTTTAGGCGTGAATGGCCTCCTTGACCATGTCCGTACCAAATGCCCGGTGCTTCCCACAGTTGTGTTTTAGCAGGCCAGATGATCTTGCCACCTCTCTTCTTGCTTGTATCGCGCTTCTCCTTCATCTGTACGGACTCGGAAAACTCCAGTGTCTTGAGGTTCGTGATATACCCGTGGCAGGACACATGAGTATCACGACCTTGAAAGTCCTTTGTCTTGTAGCTCAAGGTAATGTGGGCGCCACGAGGATCCTTTAGCCGCTTGCCATTAATGGTTGAGTTGACAGTGCGTGAATGTTACTTCTGTCAATAGTTAGTCTTGACAATAGATAAAGAGGCCACCTTTTTGCAAATACGGTTAGTAAGGATATAATACCTTATAAAAACTTCCTTCGGGTAGAGCTCGTGACTTCTTGCAGTTTGGTAGGCAAGGGCAATGAGTCTTTGTCTCTGAGCCTCAGAAGAAGGCACATTGCTCTTATGGAAAAAGTACTTAACCGTGTTAATACTAGACATCGCAGGAATCTTAAGAGCTTAGGAGACACTCATAGTTGTAGCATGTAGGGTGTTTCTCGCGAATAGATGTATTTTGCGTTTCCTTTTATAACTGAATTTATATACTTTAATTTAACAAGCACGTATAAACCCTTATGGAAAGAAAAGACAATAAAGTTTATAATTAGCTTTTTACTACTTTAATCTTAACTAAAGCTATTCTCTTAACTTATGTATCTACTAATTATAGAGAAATATAAAACTATAAATAGGAAGCTTACTGATTGATACTTAAAGCTTATGGCGCGTCAACGAGACAAATCAAGCCAACACACTAAAGGAATCCTAGCTAACTTCAGCTTTCGGAAGGCAAAATGTGCATGCTGGATTAGCAAATATCTAAGTACGTTGCGATCGATGTTAGAATAGCTTAGATGAATCCCAGCAGGGAGAGATCATGTTAAGCCTGTCAGCATGTACTAAAACTAAATCTCTTTCCGCCAGCTTCTGAATAGCTTCACGCGTGAATGGAGTCTTATTTATTTACCGGAGCTTAATCTAGGGTTACCACCTTGCACATCTTGATCTGACCTAATCTAATAAGGGTCTAAATTCTTTACACCTGTGTCTCGTTACAGTGCCAGTAAAGTGTAGCCGTATTAGCGCGAAATTTAGAACCGAGTCTCCCTTCTTTCAACTCAATTCTGGTCGATCTCTCGCCTCCCGGCTACATTGCCCATCGCGCACGTCCACTCACTCTGCTATGCCCATGGTGGTTAATCAGGCCTTTACCTCACGGCATGCCTGACTATCTTGTTATGCCTCTGTGTCTCGGCGTACCATACGATGGAATTTCTTTAGACGACGTCAAAATTTTCCTCAGCGACTTCGATGATGTGTTTCGACCTGAAGAGAAAAGCACTTTAATATCCAAAGCGCCTTTCATTGGACGGTCACCAGAAGAATTTTTCGAGCTAACAATGGCACTTATCCAGTAAGCCGACATGTCGTTGTTAGCTAGACGTGTTATTTGCAGTTGTTCGATTCCCTTGGCAAAGTGAGTAAGGTAGGTAGTTTTGCCTTCCTTTGTCGGTTCATGCAGATGGCGGTGGGGCAAAATTACAGCGCGTCACAGTGGCCTTGGGGCATTTGTGGCCCACTAGGTAATCCCCCCAAGCCTATTGCAGTTATCTTTGGCAGTTATCTCTCGATGTTATTACACCTCCTAGCGATGAACGCCTCTTGTTGAACTGCTACCGTAAAGTCAGCCGCGGCTTCCAACCTTCTCGCCTACCTTCAGAACTCGCATTCTTTTACTCATGCTCTACCTGTCATTCTGTTCCTTTACGCGACGCGTGTTATTGGCGCGCTTCCATTCATGTAACACCCAGTTTCCTGCGACTCATGGCCCTTACTTCAACGCATCCCATAAAGCTATGTCTACGCCAAGTGTCAGATATAAGTACATTGAAGAAGTTGAGGTACTTGATATTATCGACCTGGAGGCTATCATCCTGTTCAGATTAACGATACTCTGCATCACGATCGTTACCAGATAGTGCACAAACTTGGGCATGGCAAATTTTCAACCGCCTGGCTTGCCCTCGACCGACATTCATTTACCTACGTTGCAGTGAAGGTTGGAACTGCAGACGCGGATAATAATGAAGTCGATATTCTCTCGAGGCTCGCAATGGCGGATACAGATGAAACAATGATCCCGCGAGTTCTTGACTGTTTCATTGTTAAAGGGCCCAACGGATTACACCCATGTCTTGTCACGACACCTGCACGATGTAGCCTCATAGATACGAAAGATGCGTCTGACTTGGGCCTCTTCCAACTAGACGTGGCCCGGTCTCTGGCTGTTCAAGTTACAAAAGCTGTTGCCCATGTCCATTCACGCGGTTATGCCCATGGAGGTTAGTTTCTGATGCCTTCATCCGACCATTTACTAAAGTCTATCGCAAGATCTTCACTTGGGCAATCTATTGCTACGACTTCCAGCCTCGCTCAACAACTTGACGATCAACCAGCTGTATGCAAAGTTCGGTGCTCCAATACTGGAGCCCATTGTTCGTCTAGACGGGTCTGTAGAACCGTTACCAACAGGCGTACCTTCTCATTCTGTTCTCCCTGTCTGTCTTGGCTTACCGAGTGATGATATCTCCCTGTGCGATGCCAGACTCTTACTGAGTGACTTTGGTATCGCCTTCCGGCCAGAAGATAAGACAAAATGCGAGTCCAACGCACCAATTGTTGCCCGGCCTCCCGAGTCTTATTTTGAGCCAACAAAGCCTCTCACTTTCGAATCAGACATATGGAGCCTCAGTTGTCTGATTTTCGAGTTATTTGCCCATCGCTCCCCAGGACGACATTACTGCGCAACAAGTTCATCTGCAGGGTATTCCACCGCCTGAATGGTGAGACAAATGGGACAAGCGCTCTAAATGGTTTGATAGTAAAGGCCAGGCGCTCAGTAACGAGCGGGATATCTGGTCATGGGACAGGCGTTTCAGCGAATGGATACAGGAGCCGAGGAAATCGGAGGGTACGGAAACCATCAACTCAGAGGAGGCGGCTGCGCTATTGGACTTACTGAAACGAATGCTTGCATGGAAGCCTGAGAATCGGCCTCCGGCGCAGCAAATTTTGGAGTCCGAATGGGTGAAGGAATGGGCTTTGCCAGCCTACAACAAAACCAAGACAACTTCAGAAGCCGCAAGAGCATGAAACTTTGCCAACCTGAAATATGCGTGCATTAGTAAAAGAACCATAGAAAAGGATTAATAAACAGATCTGCTCAGTTGAGGATCGGTGAATTGGCATTGTCCGAACCGGCGTACAGGCTTTGGGGCGGTGAAACGCTGTGACTCTTATCACCTTGGCATATGTCCATATACCCAGCCACCACGGGACGGGATCCTCGGACACCTCCATCACCATCCCACGCATGCCGAAGTCCCTCAAAATAAGAAAAGTATCAGTTGATTCCAAACCAATTCAGGCCATTATCTTATCTAATCCGTTATATTCGGACTCCACGTCATCCCCCGGCATTTGAATCTCTTCCGCGCCCCCCGAAGCGATGATGTCAGCAAGCCCCCACACGAACCCCCTGTCCAAGGCTGAGAATTCGCATTCGTCACAAGGGTTGTGAGGCGCGTCGAGACGGCGATTGGTCAGAGTCTGAGTCTATTTTTGTGATCGACGGATTGAGGAGCTGGGATTCGTCCACGCCACGGAGCAAGCCTCGTTCTGACTACTCATTGAGTGGCTCATGTTAGACAGCACTTACGAAGCCCGCCGGAGAAGTCAGCTCTTTTACGGAAGCCATGGGAAATCGGTCTTTAAATATGCGCTGCCATGCGGGTATCTGGTGGCAATCTATCGCAGCCGCATTCGGTCCTTTCTAGCTCCTCGTCTTTTGCATATTTTAGTTCGTTCGTTTTGCAAGCGCTCTAGTTTCAATGGATAGTTACGACGATTTTCAGAGCACGCCTACTGGCAAAGTCTCAAAGGCGAAAAAGGGAAAGCCAGTTCACGTTTGTTCCGAATGCCAAAAGGTACGTTGTTCTACACAAGAGGTGGAATACCTGTTAACAAAACCAGGTATACACTCGCGCTGAGCATTTGAGGTACAATTTCTACACTTACACCCGAGATGAAGATAGTACGCTCACCAGTTGATAGGCGGCATCAATCTTCGCACCAAGAGCCCCAGTTCGAATGCCCAGTATGCCAAAGGCGCTTCCATCGCAAGGATCTACTAGAAAGGCACTATAAACGGTGAGTTGAAGAGTCTTTGCAAACACGAAATGGCCCTGACGATAATTTTTATAAGACATGAAGAAGGAATCGATGAGCCTTCAGGTTCTGGGTACATGGAGTAATCAAATGACGTTGAAAGAGTTTGGGGGGTTGTTTCCTTATACATTTGTTTATTATGAACAGAGTACACGAATGGGGCAACGAGAAATAGATAGACGTAATTTCATGAGGGACGACACTGGGTATATAGCTATGGGCTATTCGTTGGTTTAGAGAATAGACGCACTGTATATATAAGTCAGTTTCAGCGGTTTCGAACCCGATAATAATGTATCGATTCAGGTTTGTCCGAAATGATATGAGTTTACTAAGTCAAGGTGCGTCAGACTCGGCGGCTTGAGTGTGATTATGAATTTGGTCCGATTAGGTATTACTACTATGGCTCTTTAGCTATTATCTAGAAGTAAAAAATGCACCTGAGTCAAAACCATTGTTGTGATAATACTGCCATAACTTAAGAGTTCATAGAATCCAAGTGAGCAAGAATATCACCAGCAGGTGCGTGCATCTTACAGGGTAGCACAGCCCCAGTCTTCTCCGCCTCGCGTCATCCTATTGGCCACCTGCTATTGAACAGCGCCTTGCTATTTTAGTGGACGCTCTTATTTTTAAGCAAAAGACTAAGTACTGGAAAATTTCTTCGAACAATTGTCATTTTGGGTCTTCAGGCTGTACATCCCTTGTGCTCATGAACAAACCTTTCGCTGCAGAAACGATAGCTTGTCAGGACAGAAGAGAAGGTGTTACTTCTTGGTCTCTGAACACGAAATCCAACATAGAAGTATCTTCTGACATAAGGTACTTTGTCTTCGACTTTAGCGATGAGGTACGTCTGTCGTACTGAAGGTATTACCTCATAGAAAGCATTATTCACATTGATTCATAGCGCAACTACTATGGCAGACATGGTAGAGAAGCCGATACGCCTATAGCAAGAAGAGGAATCAAACGGTGATGGTTTTCTTAACTACAGCAGCTATAATACGCACCCAGACCACAGCGCTTCAGTTTGGAGGAGTACAGGTTGGAGTCTTACAAGAAAACGAAAACGAATGTCTCTGCGAACGTTCTTACCGATCAATTTAGCGTGCCTTGCGTAGCACAAGGAAGGCCCTTGGATTTGTTTGTCTGCCACCAAATTATCGATGAAACGAAACTAATCCTGACAGACTCCGTGGGCTAGTACTTTCATCTCAGTTGGCTCGACTGACGAGGCTAAGGCAGCCAATGTGTGGTCTCTGCCCATCGCATTGATCTCGCGTCATTCCCCTTACCTGAAAGCAATGTTCTCCTGGCTTCTCTCCCAAATCGTATATCAACTTCCAGAATGTTGATGCTGTAGTATTTGATCTTTTTGTGGAATGGCTATACTATGGGACTTATGATGACTTTAAATTACCGTCGTCTTTCAACGTTCATGTACGATGTTGGATTCTTGGTGACAAGCTCCTTTGCAATGAGTTCAAGAACTACACTGTGGGCCGTCTGTATAAACAACATATGAAGTTTTCGATGATATACCATCATGTGGAGTTTGCATTCGCGAATACATCTGCTGGTTCAAAATTGAGACACTTTTATACGGACTTTGTGATATAAAACTTCTTATCTTACCTTGTTTGCCTTGCAATTGTATCACTGGGGGTTTGGGCCTCTTAGGGCAAGATCCTCCTCAACGAAGCCGTGCCGGAAATCATTGGCCCCCATTGGTTAGCAACACTGTGAGGATGTAGCTACAGATGGTCAATATAATCTAGAACTAATGTCCATCTGGTACATACGACCAAAGCTCGTAGAAAATACGGGATCCCGTCCGCTCTCCCATAGTCAAGCTGCGAAGCGCTGGTAGTTGGGTCGGTTGACGACCAGCGAATCCCCGGTGTTGTATGTTTTTTGCCCTCTAGCTATTTCTAGTTATAAGACACAACATACAGATTGAATTCCCTTTTTGATCCCTGTGCAGTATTTAATAGTTGGTAATTTCTTTTTTATTCTTCAGGCTCAGATTCTCGTGCTGGCATCTCAACCCCGAGCCCTACTAAAAACTCCGCAATAACCGGGTTCTCGCGAGAGCATTCTAATAAATCCTCCTCATCTAGCGCATTGATATCTGCACCGTGGCTAATGAGCAGTCTGACTGATTCCAAGCTCCCATATACAATCGCATGAGCCAAAGGCGTCAGCCCATCTTCATCAACTGCAGCGACATTAGCCCCGTGTTCCAACAGCCGCTTGACTGTATGTGAAGAATCTCCAATCTCAGCTGCAATGTGTAACGGTGTTTGTCCATTCGCCGCCTGAGCCTCAATGTTGTCACCGCGATCAACAAGCGACTGGATTAGTGTCTCCCTAGCTCCAAAATGAGCAGCAAGGTGAAGGGGAGTATATCCTCTCGTGTAACACCGCCATCTCTCCTCCTCAGCTTCGAACTCATCATAGCTGTCTTCATCAATGTACGGCCATGCTTCGGCAGCTTGAAGATAAGAGTCTACCGACCTATGTGAAGTTGTCATTCTTAGAAAGTCTCTGTCATAAGGTAGCGAAGGCAAAGCCGCAAGGCTTGGTGACAGAGTTCTGGCGGCGTAGCAAAGAAACGGATATGCTTTCAATCTCTCTTTTAGCTCTAGAGATGACCTACACGCGCCTTCGTGGTCGCTTCTTGTCAAATACAGAAATGTCGCCCTGATGTGTCGTGCGTGGTATTTGTCGTCAAATACTTTATTTCGCAAGTAGTCCAACAGTAGCGGTGATCGTAACTTTATGACCTTCGTTTTACTGTCAATGAAGGCAAAGTCGGCACACGCGTTCGATATTTGTGTCAAAGTAAACACTGTGTTGTCCTCGTCTCTGATACCCCAGGCGATGAGCGCCTCCCATAGCATTGACGGAATAAAGGCGTATCCATTTTCCTCGCCGTAGACTAGGTAGTAAAGCGAGCAGAGGACCATGTCTGAATGCTTTGAAGTCTCGATCCCGTTGACCAGAGCTTTGCAAAAGGCTTGGCAGATATCAATACTAGAGTTTGGTGACCAGGACTCTACAAGGCTGAGAAAAGCCGTGTTCGGTTGCGATGCGATGTTGCGGAACCAAGTCGGTATGATGGGAAGAAACCTAGTTTACTTTAGCGGATGCTATCGCAAATACCCAGTGAGGCCTACCGGCCGTCAGCCATGTCCATAAGTTTCTGATATGGAAACAGCTTGGTATGGGAATCATCCATCACCTCTACATTGGCAGGTGCCTCGTTAGTAGCTCTGGCGTGATATAGACTCAAATCCTGGTCGGTAGCGCGGGCTGTGATCGTGTTGATACCAAAGCCGTGAGAAAGCGCGCGTGATGGCGGACCTCGACTGGTCAACATTATTCGTAATTGGGCTTTTTCTTTCAGCAGAATTCCCATCAGCTCACGCAACCCAGCCTCATTTGAGGAGTCGACCCCATCTAGGATGATGATAATCTTAGAGAACGCCGATGCTAGCATCTGCAGTATAGTCACGGTACTGTCGGTATCTCCCAATCCATCGTCAATAGTCTCCAAGATTTGGGCTGGTAGTGTAGATTCCTCCGGAAGTTGTGATACCAGCTGCCTGGTGATTGAGCGTAGCGCAAGGTTGTAGTCAGCGAGGTTGTACTGCAGCTCATGCCGACCAAAATGGTAGACGGCGGCTGCGGTATTTGGTAGGATCTGGTCATCTAGAATATGGCTGACGAGATTAGAGGTAATAAAGGTCTTGCCAGTGGCGCCTGATGTTCGTTAGTCGTGCACAAAGAAGCAAAGGAAGTTGGTGGGATACTTGGTCCATGGAGCCAAAGCACGCGACCGTCGTTTCCTGTCAGCCAATCCTGTGTCGTCTCATGGTCGAAAAACCACTGGCCGACGCCGGGGATACGCGCATCACTGAGAAGTCTCTGCTGAGTGGCCGATTGATCACCCGGATTTAACCGCCGCAGCAAGAGTTTCCGGTCACTCAGTTGCATTATGAGATATGTCATGCAAGTATAAATAAACGGTTAAAGTATTTAATAACTCAGGGCTAACTATTTATCTGATGTGACCTAGGGCGAATGTCCGTGGCTCGGCGGAGAAATGCACAGCCGCAACTCAAGGATTGGCTGTGTCGTATAATAATCACCCCCGCTCGCTAGTTTTGTTTTGAAACAAGCCCCGTATTACAAAAAGGGAGCCTGATCCAGGCATCAACTAATTATCCAGTCGTAAGATTCTCGAAGATCAAATCAATTCTCTGTTTGCCCTTCGCGTCATATTTGTCAACGTATCTCTCCCCAAATGGCTGCATCCAAGTGTCTGCAACATACGTATCAGTAGAGGCCACGCAATAGGCAACAGAATTACTCACCATATGTCGTCCGAGGCTTCGTATCACAAAGCCAGATGATAGTGTCATTGACGCTGTCTTCGAGATCACCTTTCGGAAAGGCTTTGGCAATTGCAGCATAGTCTCCTCCCGAAACACCATAGCCTGGTCCCGAAAAGTCCATTGCGATGCCCTTCGATACAACCTGCACATCAAGTTCCTTGAAATATGATATAGACCTTTCTGTGTGAAGTGCAATCGCATCCCATACAAGCTGAACACTCCTCTCATGCCAAAACCTTCCATCTTGGTGCTGTTGTATAAAATCACGCGCCGCGAAAGCCCCGTCTACTTCGAACCGACGGTCAGCGCTGATAATGGACGATTCTTCTGTCGTGTCCCAGCCCAGACCGTGCAGCAGGGTCGCGACAGCGTGAACTTCGAGGTCGATATTGTTACCAAGAGTTTCATTGGCATTGAGCATGAGGACTCCATAGAGCCAAGACCGCATGACGTGCTTGTAGATGGGGTAGGTACTATGCTTCAGCATCTTGAACAATTTGTGTGTTGATGACTGTGATGCCAGCGACTTTTCGCGTAGGAAATGAAGATCCATTGCTGTTAGCTTCACAACTGCCACAGAAATGGGTCGTAAGAAAGACAAGAAGTCTGATCCAATGGATGAACATGATGAGGGTATTTACGCGGTACTTCGCTGTTCAGAGGGCTCCATCATCTTTATTTGGCATCCAAAGAACATATAATGAATATGATTAGAAATCCACACAATTATAGAAATAATAATCCATCAACTTTGAGCAAGATTTACTGACGTCATACTTCACAATGTAAGAGGTGAATATCCTACGGACCGACGGTATAGAGTCACGAAAGAGAGACTAAAAGTCTTGCACAAATTCATCAATGTCTTCTAGTGCCATGCCAGTGATAAACTAATTAAATAAGGGGAGCTAAAGGCGTACAGCCATACACTGGGGAAAAGAATCACTCAGACTGCAAATTGTTGTGTCAATACTTTTATGCATTTAGCCTTTCTCTCCATTGCACTTTTCTTAGCAGTGACTGCCAATGAATGACTCAGGTGTCTTATGGATGTCTTATAGTCTGTTGCTTTTACACGTGTACTGATATATTTCAAGGTCAAAGCCCGTACTTCAAAAGTATATGGTGATCTATGAAACTTTTATCCAAGGTTCTAATCTCTATCTATGACTTTGCTCATGGTTTTGATACTTATGGCTAGTCTCACGCCTTGCTAACCTCTGGAAGCGGCCAGACCATGTCAGGAATGCGATATCCCAGTCTATCCATGTAGTACGAGGTATCAAGTCCGTGAACTCTCCAAGCAATCACTCTCTCACCACGCTCTTCAACCAAAGCAAAGTTAGGCTTCATTATCTCCAGGTGAGGACTTACATGTCTCGAAGCATCGGGCATCTCCCAGGCTGACATCATAAGTAGCTCATCACCAGTTAGAAGGCTCATCAGCTGTACGAATTTATCATTCGCAACCGTTATGACTTCAATATCGCCAGGCTTCATCAGCTGACAGCATTGGCGAGTACCTGGCTGGACTTCCTTGCATCTCGACAGCGTGAAAGCTGTCCATGATGTCCATTTACCCATGAACATGTTGAGGGGGAACGGCTGAGGGGCAGTGTTTGAAGGGATCGGATGACGCCTAAAGAGATGAGAAGTTGCAACCTTGCGGCTCAAGACGAATTCCACAAGATCGTGTGCAATTGAGAGCTTGGGATGGGGGTTGACGGTGGCAACCTGACCATTCTCATCAGTAGCCTCCCTGCGGACGAAATCCATGGCAGAATCCATGAGCATTTCCTCCTGCTTACGACATTCCGCTTCCTTCACCTCATGACCAATTTCATGTCTGTCAGAATAAGACTCAATGAACGACAAAACATCGAAGTCCTTATCTGCCTCAACATCCGGTCGCCGACTTGAAACACCTCCCGGCGTCCCGTTAAGAGATCTGATGATATGGGAGTTGTGGCGGTTCATAATGCAAAATGCTGCTGCAATTCTCGTTTTGTTGTTGTTTGGTACAGGCAATTCTGTGGTTAGCCAAAAGGATAGAGGTCAGACAGAATGATCGGTAGCCCAGGCTCTTAAATATTAAGAGACTGAAGCATCCGCGCAATGCGGCGTTCTGTTCACATGTTCAGCATCATATCTTGGAATATTTAAAGGGCTTTGTGTAGACAAAACGTAACGCTATAGACCACTGAACAAGAGCATTATGTCCCAAATATTAGGGGACAAAGCATAGCGAACTACCCAAAGGCCATGAAGACAAGCGATTGTAGGTCGACGAACATAATGCTATTTGAACAACGTAGCTGCTATGTCAAAGCACCAGACACTTCCATCGTCGCCCAAACCCGTCTAGCGTGCACTAGGAACTTTTGCATCTTAAGCTTATTCGTATGGTTCATGATCCCTGTCCCCAAGCTCTTCATCCACCTTCCAAAACCGTGCAACCTCAAGAAAAAGCTCGCCATTGCCCAATTAAAGCCTCTCGACATTCTTGGGCTCGCGGGGTTATCGTTCTCTGCCAAGACGACCCTCATCTGGTGCAACGTCGATCGGGCTTGGTCACATTTTAGTGCAGTAAAAGTTCGACTCTCGTTGGTGCAAGCAAAAGTGCCTGGGAGTCGTCACCGCTAGCGATAAGGCCTCCACTAGAGAAGTCTGCTGGCGATCATCATAACAGCTTCTTGGCTAGATATGACCTTCCAGAAGCGAAACTGTTTCCGTGAACTTGTGTTCGTCATTGTTCCCCGCCACGGATTGGCTTTCTTGGCATTGAGATTGCCTCTGATTGCGTGACTTGTTTATCTGTATAAATAGAGGCTTTCCGCCTTTGTGCAACTCTCCGCTTTCGTTGTTACGGCCAGTTCAAGTATCGTACATTGCCAATATGAAGTTCAGTACTGGTGTCGCTACATTGTTGGCGCTGGCTCCCAGCCATGGCCTCGCAAAGACTCACAAGTTGGAATCTAAGAAGATCCAAGCTGATATGAAGACCAAGAAGTAATCAATCCCCAATCCTCAAACCAACGGGAAGGTGTTAATAGTATGCAGCCTCATGTCAAACCTCGAGGCCTTCAACGACATTGCTTTTGCCAACGGTGGTAACAGAGCCTTTGGTCTTCCTGGATACGACGCTTCGGTGGATTACATCTTCAAGCGTATCTCAAAAATCAAGACCGCCAAAGTCTGGAAGCAAAACTTCCCCGCGCTCTTTGCATTTGTAGACTCAATTGAGCTGAAAGTTGACGATACACCCGTCTATGTCTACGGTCTGACCTACTCCCCCTCCACCTCCGCAGAAGGCATCACCGCCGAGATCGCGCTCGGTCCCGAAGGTGCAGCAGGTTGCGACGCTTCATCATACGATGATCTCGACGTCAAGGGTAAGATCGTTCTCATCCAGCGCTTTCGCTGTCCTACCGGCGGAACTCTTGCTGGAAGAGTGATCCCTGCTGCTGCGGCTGGTGCATCCGCTGTGATTATCTACCATGATCTTACGACGAATGTGACTGCTGGTTCTCTTAGCCAGCCTGATCCCGAGAAGCATGTCCCAGCTGGCTTTATCAACCTCGTTGATGGTGAGAAGATCAAGGAGAGGATTGAGGCTGGCGAGACCGTCACGGCCCATTTTCAGCAGACGCAGACTATTGAGGAGAGGATTACCCAGAACGTTATTGCTGAGACTAAGGGCGGAGATCCTCGTAATGTCATCATGGTTTGTAAACCACTCCAATGAGCAATAGCCATTGCTAATGACCATCCAGCTCGGTGCACATCTTGACAGTGTCCAAGCCGGCCCCGGTATCAACGACGATGGTATTTCACCCGGCCACGTTTCATCATGACTCCACTAACACAGTTAGGCTCCGGCTCATCCCTCATCCTGGAACTATTCCTCGCCCTCTCAAAGTACAAGACTAAGAATAAGATCCGCTTCGCATGGTGGGGAGCTGAAGAAAACGGCCTCCTTGGCAGCAAGCACTACACCTCCACCCTCCCCGCCAAGGACGTCAACGACCTTCTCGTCTATCTCAACTTTGACATGGTTTCCAAGGGTTTCTTCGGTGTCGCTGACACAGATGGAAGCTCTCATGGATCAAAAGCTCCTAAGGGCTCTGAGGTCACGGAGAAGATCTTCACAGAGTACTTTGAGAGCAAGGGTATTGAGGTTACGCCCGCTGTTCTGACCAATGGCAGCGACTATGCACCTTTCTGGCAGAACTTGAACAAGCCTTTTGGATTCTTGCATACTGTAGGTGAAGTTATTCGATTGTGATTTTACAACTAACGAAAGTCTAGGGCACGGCTGTTGCACAGGATCCTTGCTACCATCAAGCTTGTGACACCATTGACAACCCCGATTCCAAGACTCTCACTATCAACGCCAAGGTAAGCCTTCTACTCAGACCCTGCTACTTATGACTCTGACATAAGCAGGCTGCTGCACACATCCTGGCTGTCCTCGACGACAGAGGAACAAAGCTTATCCCCAAGACCAAGACCACTGCAGCTTCGTTGCAGGGTCTCCAGGAACGAAGTGTTGGACCTGATCTGGCTCAGATTGACGAGCTTGAGGCGATGGGTATTCGACACTTGGGATGCGGTATTCACGAGATCTAGAAATCTAGATCGTATAGTTAGATCGATTAGAAAATGACGTGATGAGTTATGAGGAGCACTTTATCGATAGAGGGAAGCAATCTGAACGCATGCGACAGATGAATTCATTCGCCCGCGAAGGTGTCAACAGACCTCCACTTCCAATTCCTAAACCTCTCATAAGACATTGGGTCAGTGCCCCAATAGTGACATATGTCCTCCGCCGTCAACATCCTCCAATCCCTTTCAAACTCAGGCGGTCTCGGCGCCGACGTATCAACTCCTTCATCCCACGCTATCGCATCTTTTCTCTTGGCCCAGTCTTCACCCGTAACTTTACAGCCTTTATTACGCTTACACCTCTGCCCACAGGATTCACACTTATAGTTTTTCCAATCTTCTACGTGATCGGCTTTCCAGGCGTCAGATTTGCCGTGGGGGTATGAACATGATCTCCTAGTATGGCCCATCTTGTTCTTGAGTCTATTATCATAGTACCGTTGTGAGAGTTCTTGAGTGTTGTAGCGTTGAGGATGGCCATGGCGAAGAGAGTCGCGATAGAGTACGTCTGTTGTTATCCAACTGCTTGAACCTCTTTCTAGATATGTCTCGAGAACGTAGTCACTTTTAGTGAGCATCACTCCATCACATATGTCTTCTGTATCAAACTCTCTCGGCATGGATGAGTCTACGATCGTGACCTTGACCCGCTCTGCTTCAAGCTTTTGGAGGAGTTCTTTGTTTGCTGGATCCTTCGTCTGTGCCTCAGAAAGGAAAACTTCAAAGTCATCGCGAGACATCCTCCAACTATCGGGCTTGGAGTTCTCCAGAAGCCATTCAAGCACAAAAGCGTCGAAAGGATTGGAATGACCGATGATGTAGTGGTGACGGAGACCAGGCGGAGATGAGCTGCGAAGTCGTGGAGCACCAGTTCCAGCAGGGTCGTTATGAACTTTCTGGCCGACCCATGACCATAGAAACATTCCGAGATTGGCCCAACAGCTTTCGTAATATTCTCTTTCCTTGTCTTTGTCAATAATGGTTCGTACGTAGGCGATTCTCGTTGTTGCCGGTGGAGCCGTCATGTTTTCCATTGCTGCTTGAACAAGTTGATTCGTGTATCCGATGGAATTGAAGATCAACGCCTGGAGGGTAAAACAGCCCGTGGAAGGACAAGACTCAATGTTGGTGATCTATTGATTCAACGTCGCTAACAATCTTGGATAAGTGGTTTTTATCGCTGCCAGGCGAAATACTAAAGATGAAGTCGGCAAGTGACTCACCACGAATCGTACCATCTCAAATACGAAACAGACCTGGTTTTGGTGTTTACATTATGAATAAAGTAGCTCCAAGTAGCTGCCAGCATTAGTCAAGTGCTGAAGTGACCTTGCAGGTACCCGCTTCAAACCCGGCGCTAAAATAGTCGCTAATCTTTGTCATGCCTCTGTCGACTTCTTCCAGCATTTTATAATAGTAATTCACTTGGATCCAACAACAGGGTCAGTTTTTAGATATCCCTGTGGTGGAAATGATTGATGTTCTATCTCTGGGTATTCGTACACTTCATGTCTTCTACAATCTACGACCAATCCTTTTACTGAAACTTGGTGCCCTCAGCCTTTTCATAAGCATAAGGAACACTAGGCGTCATCCATCGCGGTGTGACCTCGTCATCGCTCAAGGTAACAACAGGCTTCAAGATACTCAACTTCTTTCCATCAAAAGCGCTTGTCTCAAAACTCTGGTACCATCCACCATCTTCTGCCAACTCTTTACCAAGAACTCTTTTCCAACCATCCCAAACCGTCATCAAAAGATCAAGAACATGATGTGATCCTCTCATCTCGGCCCACTGGAAACGCTTAGCACACTCGGCAACTGTTTCGGGTGAGTAGAGGCCGACATCAGGTCGAAGAGCGAACGCGTTGACTGCGACGAGGGATGCGTGAACGGAGTAGCTTCCGCCCTTGATGGCGCGATCGCGAAGCGCAAGAAGAGTACCTACTGCGCCAAGGGCGCCTGTGGTCATGTCGCTAATCGGTAGTGAAGGTAGAACAGCTTCGTTGTTGGGCAAGCTAAGAGAACGGCCAGTGACATATGCTGATCCAGCAGCCGCATCAGCGATTTGTTGCCAACCGGGCCTCTCAGCATAATGGCCATCAGGTCCATAGCAGTTCTCCGAGACGTGAACAATACCACGACCTCGTTCTCCAGCCATCTTAAGGATGTCGTTCAATCCTAGGCCAAACTTGGGCATCTTATTCATACGGAAGCCTTGGATGAATACATCTGCATCGGCAATAAGAGACTTGATGATAGCTGCATCCTCAGGCTTCCGCAGATCAATAGCGATGGTGCGCTTTCCAGCGTTGAGAGTGAGTTGCATAATGTTGATATCAGGCAGGTGAGGGGGATTGACCCGAATAACATCAGCGCCGAAGCTGGAAAGAATCGTGCCGATCTGAGGGCCAGCGATCACACGAGTCATCTCAACGACCTTGATACCCACCAACGGGCGCTTATCGGCTGGATCAATAGCAGGGAAGGCAACGGGAGGTGTAGGAATAGCTTGAGGTTGAGCCTTGACGTTGATGAGGGGATGAGCAGCGAGGGACTTGCCCATCTCGCTTTCATTCCATTGCTTAGGTGTGAAGCAAATACTACCGCAATTGCCGTTGACAAGGTTGGTAAACTCAAGCTTCTCAGGTGAGATCTTTCTGGTGAACTTGGCGATATGCGCGGCTGCTTCTTCGTTGGAGGCAATGGCATCAGATGGGTTCACGCCGATGGACTTCAGAACTGGCTCTGCATTCATGGAGCCATGGAGTGAATACCAAACATCGGGATCAGAGGTAGGATAAAGCCCTGTGGTGCGGAATTTGAGAGGTGTATCAACCCATCCTCGTTCCCAATCTGGCAACAGCTTTCTCAACTCTCCAGACTCGGCCAATGTAAGGACATCCTTGCCATCAACGTATGCAGTAGCGATGTTGCCAAACCAAAGTCCGACGTGGGTAGTATTGACAGTTACTTTTCGCTCCTTGTCCTCGACACCTCGAAGAATAAGGATCTCATCAGCTACTACACCAGCCATGGCGTGGAGAGCGGCAGCTACTGAGACAGCCTTGATAGGACCGGAGATGACTGGCGACTCATCGCCGGTGAATCTGACTTTCGAAAGGATGGATTCATCTTGGGTGAAGCCTAGAGTTTGAGAGGCGATGAGACGGAAGATGCGTGTTGTGTCTTGAGGAACGGGGACGAATTTGCGGTCGGTATGAGTACCGGGACCGTATACATCACGGATTCTGGGTTCCTGAGACATATTTGTAATGGTTGCGAGATTATGGTGTTGCTAAGGGTAATAAATGAGACCATTCAAGATGCAGATTGGGGAGGTAGCTTGGACTTCAGTCGGATGTTCGACTTTTATTACTTCAGAATGATAAAGTCGGTGAAACTACAAGTTCTCGATCGCAAATCTTCAAACACCGAGGATCCCATTTTTCAACTCCACAAGAATCATGCATCGTCACCATCTCCATAATCGGCCCCCGATCCGCACTTCGCAGAGCTTGAACTCGGCAGTTTTAAACGCGAGCGCGAGCGGAAATCGGACATAGGAAAGGTACGTGGAATTCCATCTCCACGCAATTGTAACATGAGGCTCAAAAAACCGCCACGAGAAAAGACATTTCCAGGGACGAGAAGCTGATTTGCTGTGCTTTCTCCACGATGACGCAGAGACGGAACGGAAGAGTGGAGAAACGCGGACACTTCCGCACGAGAAGAAATCTGGAAATTTTCTGGAAGCTGAAACGAAGAAATCGAGATAAAGCCGTGAAAATTGGATACTCGGGGACCCGTCCGAGTTTTACAGGTTGGATAATTCAAGTACCGAAGTGACGTTGATGAGATTAGATACCAAAGCATGGCCGAGATGCAAAACGAAGTTATCTGACATCTGTTAGGCTCAAATTAGGCCAGTGATGCCACGTCAGAATCCAAACCAGGTCTTATTCTGTATTGTGCCATTTTTCGTCCCCTGAAGTCCAGTCCCAAAGAGTTGACATGAGTACCTCGTCCACGGCATCATCGATTCCGACCGCCTCCTTTTCTGGTGACCAACCATCATCTAGCTAATTCATTTCCCAGATATGAGTTGGATTCTCTTAAGGGCAAGACGTGCCGACTTCATAACTAATATACTGCCTTCGTGCTTTCCTTTGATGCGGCAGTCCCGTACCACGCAAGTATCTCTATGCCAAAACTGGGTCCATGGTGATACTGAACTCCACGCCTACAGGTTTGGAAAAGTGTTTGTGAACTATTTCACAAGTTATATGCCTAGCTTCATCGCTGCTGAGCCTGACGAGACCTTTTTGTTCTGCCAATACTTCGTCACTCGGCCATTGAGGTATCCAATCGCCATGGCGTGGAAAGTCTCTTGAGGTCTTTCATACGTCCTCTCCAGGCTATGATGCCACCTGATGTCATACTCCTTGGTCATAGAAGGAGCATCACTGTTCGCCAAGTCAGCGCGCTGATCTGGATGTCCATCACTGGCCAGGGGCTGCGTTGACGGGCGGTGTATAAAATAGGACTGCGATAAGGTATAGTTCCTCTAGACCGCCGCTTGCATTGCTCTCTCTGATAGTTATGATCCAGTCAATTTGCAGCTTATCCATAAAGGATTTCCCAAGAGCTAGAACCTTAAGCTGAGGCAACATTCAAATTTCATGGAGATCTATTCACGGGAACTAGCGCCAGTATTCGGTGAAGTATAAAGGGATAGAGTTCTGAGATGATCCCCTATACTTGGTGGTAGCCAAGTCGAGTGTAACTTCTGCTGGAATTCATGGCTTTCTAGGGGAAAGTGAGTCTAATTTTGGACCTATGATACTCTCTAGTAATTAATAGCTTCAATTCCTGCAAGTGAGATAGACGGAGTAGTTGCTGTCAAGCATCTGAACAGGTCCGATTGGGATCATGATAATTGGCCAAGTTGGAAATTGTGAGCTCTTCAAGTTGCTCTGCCCCCCAGCGACGAATTCCGGGTCATTATCTCAACATCTAGGTTCGAAATAACGAATATTTGCCGTCTCATCGATTTCGAAATCTTTTGCCCATGACCAAGATCTCACGATACAGTGAGAGACAGTATCAAGGATCCTATGCTGCAGCGGCCAACCGTCCCACGGCCTTGCTGGTTGTCCTTCTCTACTGTCATTCCCGTAAGATTCACTGGACCTTAAGTGCAGGCTAGTGCATTTAGAAATGTGGTGAGTGTAGGGAAGGGCGTCAAAGAAGCCCATGGATAATTCATAGGTATCTTTGGAGGCGGTTTCTCAGAGGCCAATATTCGTGTCAATGGTAATCTCCCTCATGTAACTCTGCCGATGGGGTGACGTGGCGATAGAGGCGTTATAATTCCAAGAAAAATCTAAAATGAAAGACCCTGAAAACGAATGGAGTCGCTGTATCATGTAATTAATGAGTGGCCAACCTCAAGCGAAGCAGGTCGGGTCTCGGCAGAGTCAAACATAGCAATGTGACGATCTCTGGCGGAAGAGGAAGGTCGCTTTGACATTCGGTCTCCATTGTCGAATACGAAGGTCTTTCTGGTTCCAGAATGTGATGATGATGCAGATGCAAATGCAAATGCAAATGCAAATGCAACTGTGTCCGAGCTGAGGTTATTGACACAGTGGAACTTTGTCTGGAGCCACTTTCATATGAAATTGACCATTAGCCCCCATACTTTATGAAATGCATATATATAATATACAAGGTACTCGAGAGACATATTACCGGATGCAGTCGTACATCATATTCGATAATTACTGCTCGAGAAAGGGTAACAAGAATGGATCGGGTTTGCAGCGTGGTTGAGGATCGGCGCCTAAAATGAAGCATATGCTGTTTTGACCTTCGGGATACGACACTGACGATGATGGTCCATGCTGAGACAAATAGCTGCAGCGCTGCAGATACGTAACTAAATGTCACATATACGAGCTTTATAATATGTCTGCGGCTTATGAAGCATTACAAACTTATTACGAAAGAGGAATGGTCCATAAAACCCCATATCCCGCTGGCGGCCGAACCATACAGGGAACATACGATAGCCTCATTCCTGTGATGATCCAAAGCACTTTTGCCGCAGGACTATGATTTACGACATCTGCCGTGGCTTTGAGGCCAAATCTCTGGGCGACATGCCGAGGATAGCGTTGATGGCACATTTCTCTTCGCATGTGTATCAACAACTCAGAGAGAGAGGGAGTTATGTATAAATGAAGTGGTGTTTCCAGCCAAGAATCCAAGTTCTCAACTCACAGCAGTCTCATTCATCTCACAAAAGCTTCAAAGCCCATCATATTCCACCAAATCCTTCACAACTTACTCAGAGTCAATTTCGAGTAAGAAATCCTGCCAACCCAAGATACTCTCTACTAACAAATCAGGTTCAGAATGCATTTCACCACTCTCCTCGCTTCTGCTGCTCTTGCTCTTGGTGTCTCTGCTGAGGGCATCAACTGCCACGGCAGCAGCAACTGCGCCAACGTCGGTTTCAAGCTGACTGGCCTTCTCCAAACCGCCCAGAAGCTTAACGACAACAAGTGGTACTACAACGGCCAGCACATCGCTTGCTGGCAGTCAGTCGGCGGGACCGGATTCTGTGCTTTCCTCCAGAACACCGGTGGTCTGCCTGGCAAGGACATCAAGAGGCTGCTCCAGGAACTGGTCAACCATGGTTGCGCCAAGTGTGGCAGCGTTCCTGCGTTCTATCCTAGCGACAATGATATCAAGTCTCACGGAATGCTCACTGTCAACTACGTCGCTAAGCCGAACTGCAACGGAATCTGCTAGAGGCTGGGCGGGTGAATGCAGCTGTCATTGGCAATGGCTCACGAACGTTACCTCGCCGCACGTGCTTCTGAGGACATGTTCATTATCAAGTCCATGTGCGAAGACCACCTTTCAATTCTTTCTTAGTTTAGCTATCTAGACTATCCTATCTTTTATAGAAAATTACGAACGATTTTCCTGCATAAATACTATTAGCTCTAACTTCTTGCAAGATATATAACCATTACAATCAGGTACCTGCCAATGGGCTTCCTCGCCCATAATCACATACTGGGAGGGTGTCTGATATCATTAGTATGATGAGTGCAGATGACAGACCTACTTATCTATATTTATCAGGTACATGCATGCCTAAAGTGAAATCTCCCTTGGAAGATCCTAAAGGGATTGCATCGAATATGCTGTTAGTATGCTGGACAGGCTGATCAAAATCAGTATGCGTCCATCGCTGAATAGCCTCAAGGCTAGAAGACAAGACAACCAATACTTATCAACCTCGTGACTCGTCACCAAAATCATATCAGCCAAAAAAACTTAATCCCACCAGGCAGCAGCATGATACAAACACAGTGAAAGCTGAAAAATAGACATTAGGCGCTGTCTCTTTCGTGTTGGGGGACACTGCTCAATATGTTTCTTCAGCTTCACGGCTAGAGATACCTACCGCTACGGTCTTTTTTCTTCTTCCTTTGCCTACCATTCTATGAGGCGCATGCTCGAATCCCTTTACCTTCAGGTCCCAAATACACTCAAAGATTGCTGGTTCGAATCCAGTCCAACCCGGGTGAGGGGACCATACAAGTGCGGACCCTTGGACTTGGAGTTCTGAGTAGAATTCCTCTTTATTCTGCATCGAGGGTGGATTAGTAGTCACACCTCGTGATTTGCGAACCTTTTTGCTGCTGTGACGTGCTGTGAACCAGGAGAGGCTGCCAAAATGTCTTTGTAATTAATGTTGATTAACAGACATTAACTTATAGTAAAAAGATACTCAAATTCGAGCTGATGTGGTTGTTGTGGTGGTGAAATGACTCCTAAGGTTGACTTATGAATCATTTGAGAGACGTTGACGTAATTGCATGATGCCCAAAAGCCATCTCCCAGAGTTGATGTTATGGGAGAAGATAGGATATGTAGGCTCAGATTCGCTCCAGGGCCATTGCTAATAGCATGATGTCCATGTTTAAGATTTGCCAGGTCGGCATTACGCGGCCGAGACAACCGCATGTTAGTATAGTCATCATGAACTTGACTCGTTCCTTGAAAAGTCTGGCAGTCAGCTCAGGGGTCAAACCCCATCAACCAAGTTGACTAACGAGCGGAGAAGACTACCAGGTGCTGTTGGATTATACCTGTCGTCAGAGTATCGTGCTAGTCTCAGGTTATTATACCTTTATGATGATTCAATCAGTCGCCTTATTATCAGCTACTGGGGTATAAGAGCCCATCTCAGACCTGATCCTTCATTACTAGAAGCAGGTAAAATTGGCCATGATCAGCAGAGTATTGCTCGACTTGATCTACTCGCGATGCATCTGAAGTGCTGGCAAGAAACCCCCCTTGACACATATCTGGGGAGTACCGTGCTAGACTCGTCAGCTGCCACGTAACTACAATCTGACTCAGAGAGTGCAATCGGGAAGAGGCTGAGCCTAGTAACAATTGACAAATAACCAGGGGTGTTAGATCTCTATTGCTAGGCTCAAAACTATAGCCTGGCAAGCACTGGGTATTCAACAGCCACAGCGTTCTTTATGGCCATTTCCATGTTGTTCCTATCACGGATAGCAGCCTCCCCCCAACGGTCTACATCATTCATTGTCGAGCCTCATCTGGGGTTCGCTCAATCAGGCTAGACATTCTCTCCTATTACTAGATGACTTGTTTCTCTAGTTTGTTCACCGATGTGTATCAAATGCTCTTGAGCAATTGTGTTAAGCAGCTGGTATACTGCCTCAGCTGATTTAACAAGAGTGTTATTTTGAGGTGATAGACCCCACTGCTGATGCTCACATCACGCGCCTCACACGTGTATCAAACGCAGATGCCTTCAGTGATTGCATATATATTAGAAACCTTTAGTGCCCTGCTTGTGGCCTGAGCGCGCTCCTTGTCGGCGATCCTCTCTATCTCCTGCACTATGGACTATGCACTGAACCGCCAACTGTCCGTTTCTCGATTCCACGGCGTTTTGGAAGAAATCGGCCTGATGTCTGTCCTTGAGGAATAGGCTATCCATTTCCAGCGTTTCCCAAATGCTGGCCTTCTGCGGGGTTGCTATATCCCCGGTTTCCCTTAAGATTAGCATAATACCTTTCGTATCAAGCTTCGAGCTATTATCTTGCTAAATAACCTTTTAGCTGTATCTCCATTGAGCGATACGTTAGTTGGAGACGATAGTGGGCACATAATGCAGCGTCTCCTACTACTTAATGGCGTCGCGACTGTGACCCTATGACGTTCTTCGCCGCTTTCAGCGATGCTGCATGCAATATACTTCTCGGACTAGAGCGAGCCGCCAAGGGGTTGATGGAGCCGTGGAAGAAGGACGCTGCCGTCGTAGTCCATTCCGTGACAGGATCGATCCATGGATATTAGTCGCGATGTTCCCGCCAAATCTATTAAGTAATCGGCAAGGTTTGGCAGTGAAAAGGTTTGGTTAACCCTGGGTAAAGACGCCTGGTTGGATCTTGCCGATGTCGGCGTGTATTGAACGAGCTCGGCAATCCTGGGAAGTCTTTTCTCGCTTCGAAGTGGTAGCTGTTTCTGAATCGGGGCCAACTCTAATTCCGGGTTCTCTGCGACACGAGACTCCAAAGATGGTGGATGCGCCGAATAAGGGTGTCCTTCTAGAATGACGACGCTTTGGGTACGCCTGGGCAATGGATGTTGTATTTGAAAAGGCGCCGGGGGTAGTGAAGGCGTGTAGCAGATAGTCGGAGGCGGCGAGTCATCAAGCTCAAAAACCTCGATAGTACTCTTGTCTTGGTGCTGTTTTTTCGCTGAGACTTTGGGCTCGATGGGTGCATAGCCATCACAGATCACTCCATGAACGAGACAGCGACGACAATGAGGACGACGTTCATCGCATTTTATATGTCGGATCCTATCTGGTGAGCAATCTCTTCTCCTCGGACTACCCCGTAACAAATCGAAGTCGATGGGCACCTAAACTCACTTGCTGCAGCGATTCTGTTAGCAGAGGGTCGAAGAGCACAGCATTGCCTTTGACTGACCATGTTTTGCAGCCTGTTCGGACTTTACGCGCAGATGCACGTCTGTACTTGGGCTTGGCACTCTCAGAAGCGTCCGTCTTGGCTGTCATTCTACTTTGGCAGATGTCGCGCAACAAGGAAGAAGTCGAAAAAAGCGGGATGCTATAAGGCAAGTCTAAAGCTCATTCATGCTACATGACATGACTCAAGCAGCCCATTAGCGGAGTATCATTGATAAGCCGGATCAAAAGTGGGATGGGATCAAGGGATGTGGGTTTTTCCCGATAGAAAATTACGCGTCAAAACAATCAGCCAGTAAGGGCCGCGTCAGCTAGATTCAGCTTGGTAACGAATCAGGAGTCAAGAGAATTCTCCTATGTATATATGCACAATCAGCTGAAATCCAGTAATACGAGTATACGAGGAGTATACGCAATAGCTAGATATTAAATACAGATTGACCCCGGCCCGCAGCCAGACACAGCCCACAAGGTTTTCGGTCAATGCTTCAAGGCTAGTCAATGCAACGCAAGACCCTGGCGTCACCAGCTCGTGCACCGGGAACGGTGATAACAACTAAGATTAAGCATCTGACGTAGATCCATAACTTCATAAACAGAGGTTTCCCGATAAAACCCGATAACAGAACCTGCAGCGTTAGTTGCAGAGGCATTGAAGGAGAACTATCTCAAGGTAAGTCATGCTAGGGAAAGTAGCACAGCTAGATGTTGGCTCAGTTCAAATTCCTGCCCTATTTATTCACTGGTGTTTGTGGATTCCGACCTACAGCCTTTCGTTCGTCGCGTCTAAGGGATGGCAGGGCGACCAGTCTACCCTTAGTCCCAAGGCGCTCACAGCACAAGACCTGACGCTCTTCAGCATAGCTATCATTCAAGCTGAGCGCTACGATTCCATAGCACCGGCTATCAAAATGAGAAATTGACTATTTCCGTATCGTCGGAAGATCCCGAATTTCTTTCCTTGCCGCCTATCGCGAGGGCCACTGATTTCGCAGTCCGCCGGCTTAGAACCCCAGTTTATACCATCAAGGCAATAGACATTTCACCAACAGCCAAGGCAAAGAAGATCTCTATGCGTAGGTTCGCGTGCCCAATGGGTCTTCTTTAAGGAATACCTACACGAGCCGGGTCCGGTCCCTTTCATCACGGGAAACCCGGCAGAGCGGCCGAGTTCATGATGCAGGCTTTGTCTCGCGGCTCGAAGTCGGCGCCGACTGTCCTCGCAAGCCCGGCGCGTGGATCTGTACCCACTCGATCTCCGATCGCAATGCTACGATGAAATTCCACCGCCTCCTAGACTCCTCAAAATGCAGACATACCTTCCATGAAGAACCCGAAAGAGCAAATGTTATGAACACTGATACTCTCGGTGCTTATACCCCGAAGCAAATCACTCTTGCGCAACAGAGTCAGAAGTTGTTCTGGCTCGATAGAGAAGGAATGAAGGTTATGCCCTGTAATCTTGAGGGTTCCGACGTCGGGGTCTTGGTGTCAACTGGCTCAAGTACAGAGGACAGAAAAGATATGCGCCGTGGGTGCGTTGGTATCACAGTAGATGAGTCAAAGAAGTACTTCTACCGGTCACAAAAAGGTCTAGCAAAAGGATCTTAAGGGCAAATCTTCCGAGCCAGGGTTGATAGCCCAACACAAGTCGAGAGAGCTTTTTGACAAACTCCCCGAACTTATTGACTTGGAATTCGACGGGAGCTCAAAACCCTGACCTGGACAGGTCGTGGGGATCCTCTATCTGGAAATTCACTAAATCGTGCTTTCATCGGAGATCCTAGCACTGCGTCTGAGCGCAATTTTCTGGCTGGATGGCTACGTGAGGCGACTAGTCTTGCTCCGGATACGAATACTGCATCGGTTTATGTGACGGATGTCAGGAGGTGTATATGCTGTCGACCTGAAAACGGAGCCAAAGACAGTGCTGCTTCCTGAGCGGGGAAATATCACAGGTATCGCGTTGGCGCGAAGAATGGCTGAAGATGTAAGCTAATGGACTGTTAATCAATCGTAATACCCATTTTCCAACAATGAGTTCAAGTTCGCATGCGTGTGGTATGATCTGTCTCAATCAATAGTGAATCAATACGACTGTGATAAGGTCCAGAGGTTAAAAGAAGCTTCAGCCTCAAGGGCACAAAGGTAAAGAACATTGTGGTCAAGGTGGACGATCTGTGTGTTGGGAAGAATTCTAAGGAACTAGAGGCAGTATCAAAGGGTGGATCATCGTTTGTACAAAGGCGGTTAAAATAGAGTAAGGTTCTAGTATCGCACGTTAAATTGGATAAATCAAAGTATGTTAAGCTGTCGTTCAATCAACAACCTCCTATCCTGAAAGTATAGTAGTGTATAAAAAGCTAACAGTGCGTTGATATGTAAAAAGACTTCCATCAAGTCAGGGTAGGGAAATTGACGCAAAAATATATAATGAAGCCAGCCCAACCATTCGCCATGAATTTCTTCTTATCAAGTTCTAATTCATTTCTCATTCTTCTTCTCTTAGCCTGCCACACTATTATCTCGACGTCTAATCTTTGGAGAAAAGATCGATCAAAATGCCACGAAAAGCTCAAGGTATCGCACGCCCGTTGACAAATCTCACCGAAGAAGTAGAGATAGGAGACTCACTTCCAAACGGCTCAGAAAGAGCTGGTATCCCTCCACCTGACACAGAACCCGAAACGTCGATACGAACCGTCCGGGTACCTGAAATCCAGGCCTTACCAGCGGGTGTACCCCCTTGCCCGACAGCGCTCGAGACCGAAGACTACTACGGTCTCTGGCGCAACAAACCCCGACTCCTCGCGCGATCAAACTACCCCGAGGATCAGTGGTCAGGCCTATGCAACGACTGGTCACGTGCCGAAGATTCCCATCCATTCAGACGTCTCTGGTCAGACCCGGAGGGAATTATCCAGAAGGAGCTGGCTGGTGCGCTGGAGTATACGAAGTGGACATACTTCGAGCCCTGTCGCATCGGAAGTGCACAGCAAGAAAGTCAGGTGAAACTCCTAGTTGTTGTCGAGGCCGAATCTACGACTTGGTCTCATGCCTGGGTTGTCGCCAGGATGTGTAGGGATATCTTGAGGGGTTACGACATTACAGATGTTGAGGTTGAGGTTCAGGAGTGTGCTGGTTGTTGGGTTATCACGCGGATACGGGAGTCGGTGGGACCCGAAGCGACTGTACAAGATTGTCCTTTTTGTTAACAGATATCTTGTCATTCATACCTCGGCACTACCTGACTGGTTTTGGAGTCATAGCGACCAAACATGCCTTTATTGTTGTTGTTAATTATAGAGAAATATCATCTCAAATTGGTTTGACGTTGACTTGGGAAAGCTTATCGTGTCATCTTGTGCGCTATTGGTTGAAACGTTGCTCAAAGGGCTGAAGATGACAAGAAAATAGTGGGTCAAGCCAACCTTACATGACGCCTCAGACTCATCGTCTCCAATATTGACAAGGCATCTCTTCTAGCGAATGGCTCGTCAACATGGAACACACCGACAGAGAGACCAGCGTCAACGATGGGACTCCTGTATTCCCGAGCGAATTCCCCGACTTTAGCGAGCTGCTAGACCAGCCCGACTTTTCTGGTCTTGACTTCGCCTCCTTTCAGTCCTCGTTCAGTAACGGAGTTGATCCTCAATTATTACACCTAGTCTCGGGCTTTGGAGGCAGCTCAGAAGTCAACTCAATTTCTCTATGCGGGCCCACTGAGACTCTAGCTCCTACTACATCAAACGTGCAAGCTGAGGCGGGGCCAAACACCATCACAACCTCGCCCCCAAAGGCTGGAAAGCGACTCTCTCTCAACTCAGTCCGTATTCTCAACAAATGGCTCTCGAATCATACACATCACCCGTACCCTAGCGTCCGAGATGTTGAATCAATCGAGAGGCTGACAGGCTTGACTCGACAACAAATCCTCAATTGGTTCGCAAACGCTCGACGTAGGAAGAAGTTCCACCCACCAGAGACTACGGATCCAAGTTCAGCAGAGGCTAGCCCCCTAGACATACCCCTGCTTCGACCACCTACACCCATCGTCCAACAAAGTCCACTCGAGCGATGGGAGAACTCACCGCCCGAAGACGAGCCATCCACCATGGCCGCTATTGCAAGGGCGGTATCGGGCGCAAGCGGTTCCGTCGACCAATCGCGGGGTACAAGAACGAGGCATGGCAGGGCACCATCGTCAACTGGCACCTGGGCAACAACCGACACCTCTGATTCAAGTCGAAGCTCGCAAGCCTCGGGCTACTCACATATATCCAATCGGTCACTCAATAGAGTCATCAAAAAGCGTCGGCGAGGAGGTCTACGGACCAGGAATGATGAAAAGAGAGGTCTTTCTGTTGTTTGCTATCGCTTTCAGTGTACGTTTTGCACTGAGACGTTCAAGTTGAAACATACATGGTCCAGACACGAGAAGACACAGCACCTGTCCCTCGAGCAATGGGAGTGTTCTCCTCTTGGTCCAACAGCTCTCAACGAGGATTCTGAGACCGTCTGTGTTTATTGCGGCCTTGAGGACCCAGATGAATCTCACTTCGAGGAGCATAATCATGACTTGTGCCATAAACGTGAAAGAGGAGAGCGGATATTCTACAGGAAGGATCATCTACGACAGCATCTTCGGCTCGTCCACGGATCGCAATTTATGAAGTGGCCAATGGAGGAATGGAGGTCTAAGCATGAGGATGTTATATCACGCTGTGGCTTCTGTGATATTACCATGACGACTTGGTCAGAGCGGGTGAATCATCTTGCAGAGCACTTCAAGGAGGGAAGGACTATGGCAGATTGGAAAGGGAGCTGGGGATTTGATGTTGCAACGCTCGATATGGTGGAGAATCACATGCCCCCATGTAAGTGAATAACTCCAAGCTCAGGCATCTTACTCACGGTTGAGCAGATCTCATTGATTACGAGCGCAACTCGCCTCTTCCGTTCTCCACGCAACAGGGTGCGCCGTATAGTTCAACAAACGCCTTCGAACTACTACAACTGGAGCTCGACTACTTCTACTCCAATTATACTGACATCAATCACTGCATCCCCTCCGATGAGACGCTTTATCTTGAAGCTTGCTGCATCATATTCGGCGCGGAAATGAACTACCAGTACCCCTCAACAGCATCATCTTGGCTTCGCGACCTCATAATGAGTACACAAGATATCGTCAACGATGCACGAATGACGCCTATGAAGAGTGCAGCCAGGTCCCGATTCTCAGAGCTAAAGATTCATAGCAAGAAAGACATATTTGAGGACTGTAAGCTTGAGACGTCGTTAAGTCAATACGTTGACATGTTGCAATTGTTAAACATGGGGATTGAAGATGTCGAGTTGCAAAAGGAGGCATGCTCGATCATCAATCATATGCCTGATGTTTCGCCTATGTTTAGTCAGTTGTTGATTGGTTTGGTCTATAAGTCAACGGGCTGGCTGGCTTCATTTCGGGAGAGGGTAGGACTGCCGCCGTCTGAAGTTGTTTCATCAAACGCGCAAGAAGGCCTTGTTCCTCCTCTACTGTCCTCCGGCGGTCTCCCTATCATATCCAATAATGATCTTAAACATTGGAGTCCACCGAGCGGTCCCAACTCACCACCTATACATCTGGGACAGAAGATCGTGTCGCTGAACGACGGCAACATGTACAGAGGTCTGACCAGAGACTTAACCCGCTACGTCGCGAGGACCATCTCACCTCTGAATCCAACAAGCCACATCCCAACGGACGAAGAGCTCCAATATCAAGCGCGATGGATCATGTACGACAGGTAAGAACCACAATTCTCTCACGCAAGCCTCCACTGACCTAGTTTCCAGCCACGACGTATGGAATCAGACTCCAGCGGATAATCTAGATTGGCTTACCGAGTTCAAGAGAGACTCTGGCTTGTTCTAGTCCTCGCCAAGATCGATAGTTTCATTCTGAACATGAACCATGCCACCATGGTGGACATGAGGGCTGATGCTTGCTTTAAATCGCTCACACTTTTCCGTCCTTGTTTAGTGTAGAACCGAGAGACTGGATATGCCAAGCCGTACTCCCCGATAAATAAACTTCTTTTGGCCTCGCTTGGCAGGGTAGACCAAGTCAGCGGCCGACCCTTGACAAAGAGTCCCACTGAGTCATGTAAAATTACTGGTTCGCGTGAAGAGAATTCCACCTGCAAATAAGCATATCTCCAAGGCAAAAAGTCTCATAGTGTTTCAAGACTGAGAGCCCTCCAACACTCGACGAGCAAACGTCCACTGTGACCGGTGCAGGAATTAAATAAGATCAACAAAACGCTCACATTTGCCCTCTCCCTCCAAACTCAAATTCCCCAAAATGCTACAGTCTCTTGGCAAAACCAAGTCTAGAACTCTAGATCACCATCATCAGCTCAGTATCCACTCAGCACTAAACCATTCCTGACCCTACGCCGCCGAAATACGACGTTAGCTTCGGCATTTCAACCAAACTTTATTGGCGATGTCACCCTTTCAGGCTAAGAAGAGAAATTTTGCTTGTTTATCTTATAAATCTGATAATCGGAGTGGAGAACGTAAGGAGGAGTAACTGATTGATAAGTCTGACCATTTCTCTTTTGTTGGTTTGGCTTTGGCTGCTGGTCTCAACGTCCTGGTAATTTCGTTCGCTGATCAAAATGGCTGAAAAGGTTGGATTTGGCGAAAGCCTTCGCAGTGAGTGTGCACTACGATGTGTTTGAGATACGTACTGATGGTGCCCAGCGTTCTTTTTGGGGGCGGCGGCCAAGTCGAAGGAGGAGAGACGTCTTGTCAGGAAGCTAGGTTCGTTCATTCATAGCCGTTTGTATTTGCCGATACTGACATTTGGCAGATTTCTTCATCATGGTATGCGGCCAAGGCATTCAATCAAGTAAATTGGCGATACTGACAGAATCAGACCTACTGCTGCCTCAGCTACTTCTTTAACTTCCTTGGTAAGAAAGATTCTCATGATGCAGCAGACCATCCAACTGACGAATGATACATAGATCGTGCGGCATTCGCAAACGCCTATGTAAGCTCAACTGTAACAACCTGCTGGCAGGTATACTAATGATCCAGGTCGCTGGTCTTCGTGAATCTCTCAACATGACCGGCCACGATTACAATAATGTTCTTTCTATCACCACCGCAGGGTATGTCTCGTGGACCATACCCAAAACGACTGCTTACCATGACTAGAATGGCCATTGGGCAACTTCCTCACGGCATCATCATCCAGAAGGTCGCACCTCGAATCTGGTTCCCATCCATGGTCGTCATCTGGGCTGGTCTGACGGTAGGCTAAGCGCATATTCTCACTATCGAAATGACCAACTAACATATCACAGATGGCTAGTGCCGCTGCCAAGACCGTTACTCAACTATGTGTCATCAGGTTCTTCCTCGGTTTGGCTGAAGCCAGTACTTACGCGGGAACTATTTACATCATCGGAGCATGGTACAAGCCTGAAGAGATCGCCAAGAGAACTGCCCTCTTCACTGCCTCAGGCCAAGTCGGTACCATGTTTGCTGGTGTCATGATGACGGCCATTCACAAGGGTATGAGAGGCATGTCCGGCCTCCAAGGATGGCAGTGGGTGTTTTTGATCGGTAAGTCGAGTCACCCAGAGTGACAAACCGGCGCTGACAGCTGTAGACGGCATAATCACCCTCCCCATTGCCCTGTTTGGCTTTCTCTACTTCCCCGACATTCCAGAAATTACCAAGGCGAAATACTTATCCCAAGATGAGAGAAAACTGGCAGTCTCCAGACTTCCCCCGATCAAGACCGATGGCCACAATATTATGCCCATGTCTCTGATCAAACGAGTGTTTCTTACTCCCATGTTGTAAGTTTCTCCGTGAAGCCTTTGGTAATTTGCTTCTGATTATCCCAACAGCTGGATCCTCTTCTTTTGGTCACCTGTCTGCGCCAGCGTCGAGGGTTTCCCCTTCCAAAACACCTTCCTCCTCTGGCTCAAGTATTACAACGACAAATTCTCACAAACCCAAATCAATACTTACCCTCTTGGTGTGCAAGCTGTTGGTATCGCTGCAAATATGCTTGCAGCATGGCACATGGACACAACCGGCCAACGTGTTCCAATGGCTATCCTCGCCGTCCTTCTTCAGGTCGTTGTAGGAGCTATGCTTCTCGTGAGGAATCTATCTGACGCTGGGATCATGTTCGCCTTTTATCTTGCTGGATCAGCGTACATGGTCAACCCCCTCATCTTTGGCTGGGCAAACATCATTCTGCAGCGAACAGGCGATGATGCCATGCGTAGTGTGACGCTGTACTCCATGAATATCGGCTCCATGGTCCTTTGGACCTTCTGGGGTATCATCTTCTACAGTGCTGCTGATGCACCTTATTGGAAGAAGGGCGCTATCTCGCTTCTTGTTTGCTGTGGTGTCATGTTCTGTTATATCTGGCTGGTTAATTATGTAAGTGCTATATTACTGAGTCCGCCATGTCACAACCGCTAACCAAGCATTTTCAGCTCGATAAGCTCACCATGAAGAAGTATGGTGACCGAACTGTAGAAGATCTCGAGGAACCCATCGAAGTGAGAGAATCTGACAAGGGAGATGCTACCAAGGTGTCAGAAAAGAGTGTAACTTCATAAACTCACTATTGCCCAAGGGACACGATAGTAAAGCATAGCACAGGGACGAGGTGAATAATACAGGATCATGGTTTATGTCGGATGCTAGTTAGCCCGTTGCTTGTAGGTTAGGCATAGACCTTCAAAGTTGTCACATAGTCCAAAGAAATGAAGAAAGATAAGCGCCAGATAAGTCTAGACAAAACGTAAATCCTTGGTATGATCATACTTTCTCTCCCAGAGCTATGCTATAGTCTCCATTGAGCCGTAGCTTGCAGGTTCTTATCTACGCATCCCACTACTAGCTGAATGATCTGTTGACCCTGGCATTGAGGTCATGATTCTCTGGCGTAGTATATGACGCTCCGTTGGCATAGGCACTAACAATCATGACTAGAACAAATAGAAGTAATAATCGGGCAACGGTCAGCATATCACATTTACTGAGATTAATGTTGGTAAAAGCATTGTAACTAGTAGGGCTACTACTACATATATAATCTCAAATCTCGTAGTAATAGCCTGGTCGCTGTCCCAAATACTGCCCATACGAACCCTTGAGAGACTCATCCAGCTTGTATGGGTCGACAACATGTTTCTCAGAAATATGAGCATCAAGTTCGTTCAAATCATACTTATTGAAACTTCCAGGCTTGTCGTTGACGCATGCCCGACACATATACTCATTTGGTGCACCCTCAACGTGCGACCAGAGGACGCCGTTCTGCTTCAACAGGAAATAACTCACGATGAGATCGTCCACCGCCTTGTCGGAATCATGCCAGCCGCAGCCACAAACAAACGTTCCAGTTTTTGTCTTGTGGGGGAATCTGTCACAAAATATGGGATGGTCTGGCTTTCCGGGGCCCGACTGGATATTCGTACCCCAGAACATGATTCCTCCTGATTGTTTATAGTGTTAGATGGCTTGAATGTAGAATGGTAAGAAATGACTGTCGACGTACCAAAGTTCTGGATGCGGTTATCCTTAGAGGGGTCAAGCCTCTGGATGATACGCTGGCCTTGTTCGTCATTCATGCTCTTGATGGCAAGCATGACACGAGGGATCTGGTTGCTATCAAGATTCTGGACAGTGTGGCTCAACTGAGTATCGTCGAGTCGCTGCAGGGCACCCGGAAGTTCAACGTCGTCAATTTCTTCGATGGAAAGGTGATCACTCATGTTATCTTGGCTCTTATATAGTTGCGACAATGTTTCGGTTGTGAATCTGTAGTTTCTGAGCAGGAGACGAACGAACTATGGTCAGTGTAGTCTTTATAACCAGTGATTGGGCCTCGACAGCATCATTCACCATTTCCAACAATTCTCTCCCAACCCATCCATGTTCAGCCTCAATTGCGTCACCTTACGTCAGACCAGAATTTCAGAGCCTCATTCCAACCCTGTTGCCAATCATTGCGACAGTCTCACCATGCAATATGCTTTTAAAGCGTAATTGTTATGCCGCAAATCCGAAATTACAAAGGTAATCAACAAATAGTATGCTTCCAATGACATTTCGATAGGAACGAGTGCGGTGAGGGAAATTTCTTGATTCGGCGTGTCGCTCAGCCGAAGATTTTGAGGGTGGTGTAGGTCAGAGCCTGACGGGAAGGGATGGTTGCAATATAATAAATCACAATCCTTTACATTTCAGCCTAAATTGATAGTCATTCGTACGGTTCCTGGTGGCCTTCTTCCACAATATTGCACACATGGTTCGATTCAGAACTTGGGACCAGTTATCTTGTAACTTGTTTATAACTCTGATCGTGGTGTTGATGTCGTCATCCAACAAATTTGTACAAACAAGTGAGGTGTACCCCAACTTTGACAAGTAGTTTTGAACCCGATCTCTTGATCAAGACTTCTCATAGCTGTCTTTCCGCAAGCAAGGTCCAAGTCATGTAAGTCTCCTGTAAAGTGACCTGTTGGGGACTCTGTAACGAGTGGGCGGCACATAATACCACGTCAGGTACCATACAACAGGTGCCCACCAATACTCATAGCTGAGGTAATAATCCCCACAGTATGGAACATTGTTAATTGAGCTATCATAGTAATACCAGTTCCAGTCGCATGTGTAGTATCCAGTCCCTGGATAGGCCTGATATTGGTTCTGATATGGGTTCTGATAGTAGTATTCGTTCATTTCTACAGGGTCGCGCGGCCAAGGTTGAACGTCTGTCATTGTCAGCGCGTCTCGAGGCCACGGTTGAACTTCTGTAAATGGCAATCGTTGTCAGAGGATATCATTACCGAACAGACTTGGATGCTGAATGAAAAGGATCACCATACCGCTATTGTTAAGGCGTCGATTCCTACGTAAGCACTGAATAATGCGGTGAACTTGATCGGTATCAATGGCTCTTAAACCGGCGGCGAGTTGGGTATCGTCAAGACCTTGGACGACCTCTTGAAGACTGTGGCTAGGCTGGTTCGGTATAGCCAGCTGTTCTACCATGGTATCGGCTTCTTGCTGATTGTTTTGCGAGGTGGCTTGGGCGCAACGTGTGAATTTGGTGGGAGGGATGGGTCAGGACCTGGGCGTCAGATCTGGTAGAGTAGTATTGCATGCACTTCCGCTATCTCAGCTGTATGCAAAGCCCAGGTCTACGTCCATAGAAGCATTGTTAGGTACTAAAAAGGTTGCGTAGAAAGCTGTCCGCCTTAACCGTTCGTTGCCTCATAACAGATTGGGCATAGACGAAGAGCCTCGTTTCAACCTCTGCCAAGACCAGTACAGCCCGAACACAAAGGTCTACGTGGCAGGAGATGCAAATGACGTGCCGGACATTGGACATAGCGTGAAAAGCCAATCAATTCCCGTTTCCGGTAGCGCGATAAATGCAGAGCGTTCTGGTGTAAGTTTTGTGTATCGTGGTGCTAACGAAAATGAGAGTTGGACAATTCGTTAGCAGCGTGACGAGTGAAGGTGATCGCTCGGGCGGGGATGACCAGCTGCGGTAGTGCATTAAATCAAGAGTGCCTAATACTGCACATCCTTATATAGCTATTGCTATATCTATAATTAGACTGATCTTTAGTGTTGTCTCTGGGCCGGTCAAATGCTTGAGGGAGAAGACATCAGCTTAACCTGAAGCCGACTTTTAGTGGACAGGACACTGGCCTGTTCACGGTTGTCTTCAGTTACTCAGTCGCGGGGTATAATTCTGATTGACAGCAAAACAAGCACATACGACCATACCTGCAGGAAAATACGGGATCCCGTCCGCTCTCCCATAGTCAAGCCTGTAAGGGGCGGATCAGTAGTTGGGTCGGTGACGACCAGCGAATCCCCGCTGTTGTATGTTATTTTTTGCATTTCTGACTATTTATCTCAATCGACGATTTAATTGGCCAGAAGCTCTCTACTCAACTTTTGCAGTGCGGTCGATTTCCAATCGTGACCAGCTACTAATTCCCCCAGCTGTACGGAGTACACTGGCTGTTTACCACTACGAGCTTTATCACCGAACCGAATCCATTAGCATCCAATGAGATCCAACGCCCCATGAATTAACCATGCCACCCTACTGACAGAGATATGCGTGTTAGGTTAGAGTGCTTGGAGGACGGCCCAACAGCATCCGCAGAAACGCTTTTCCTAATCTGGGCAAAAAGTGCGACATGTGGGGAGATTGATTTTGTTTCTATATTGAATCTGATCATGCTTGGCATCTTTGTCTATTCTTCAAACAGATCGGCTTGCTCTGAGGTCCTTTACTCTTGCTGCCCTTTAATTTATTATGTCTATTGTTAATTCCGAAGTTCCGAGTCCCGGAGGTGCGACACTATATAACAGAGACCTTTGGAGACATTATAAGTTCGATTAATATCCACATCGTAACTATTATTACTTATACGTGTATCGACTAGCAGATACATACATGAAAATGAACAACCTGGTGCTGCTTTCATACACGGCCGTGTATACACTATCAACGACAAACAGCCATGGGCCGAAGCCTTCATTGTTTTCCCGTCCGGGTGTTTTGAGGCAGTTGGGACCGACCAAGAGATCCAAGCCCTGGCTGGCGAGAAAGGCCTGCCCATCCACGATCTTGACAACACTTTCGTGATGCCTGGGATCCATGATGCACATACCCATCTACTAGTAGCCTCGCTGCAAAAGATGAGTGAAATCAGCATCGGATTTGATATCACCGCTGCGACTATTGCAGAGAACATCAAGAAAGGACAAGCCAGTTGTGCATGTGCCCAAGCTCATTTTAGAGGTGATTGGCTTGTTGCAAACTTCTACGCCGGTCAGAACTTCCCGGATGGAAAAATGGATCGAAAGTATCTAGACGATGTCTTTCCTGAGCAGCCGGTGCTTGTTCGGGATGTCTCTTATCACAACGTCGCGCTCAACACTGCAGCTCTCAAGCGTGTTGGGTATGGGAATGATGTTCAGGATCCCCCTGGGGGCCACTAAATGCGAAGGCCAGACGGTCAGTTAACCGGGGAGCTGGTGGAAGCCGCATCGGGTGAGGTCTTGGCCAGCCTACCTCAGCCACCGGTGTCGTTTGTCAAAGAAGCTATCATCTATGGGATCAAGATGTCTCACAAGTTTGGTATCACTTCGCTACAAGAGGCGTCCGCCAACACCCTCTACCTTCAAGCCCTTCAGGAGCTGGATAGTGAAGGACGACTGGACATGCAGATTCTCCCCCACATTGTCCATGCGCCTGTGGGCTTTGCTCAGGAGAAAGCCGAAAGTCTGCATCGTCTTATCGATAATGCTGAAAGCTTCTGTATCCAGCACGTTGATACACGGTTTGTCAAATTTTGGATGGATGGGGCCCCCATACCGCCTCACTTCACTCAATGCGATATTGGACCCGATGGGCATCCCAATGAGGAGAGGCTCCTACTTGGATTCGAAGAGTTGTTGGAAGCTTTGACTAAGCACGGTGCAAAGGATTTGACATGCAAAATCCACTGTGCTGGTGATGGCTCTGCAAGGCGAGCCCTCGATGTTCTTGAGCGAGTTCGGCAGTCGAATCCTTCAGGCCCAGTGCACGAACTGGCACACTGCAACGCAATCCGTCAAGGTGAGTTTATTTCCAGTGCTTCGGTGGCAATACTGACCTGTCTCTCAAGACGACATCAATAGAATGGCGGAATTACGAATCACGGCCGAGATGTCACCCGCCATATTTCACGACACAAATCTCACATCCAACTACCCCCATATCTTCAAATGGCCGTTCAAGGAGCTCCAGGATACCGGTGTCCATGTCACGGTAGGTTCCGATTGGTTCTTGACCGACACGCCAGACCTTTTCCCAGCTCTATCGGCCGTTGTGGAGCGCTTCGGTACGCAGGAGGGCAAGACGGCGAAAGAGGTCGGAGGGGCAAAGATATGTCGTATCATAACACTAGCGGGGGCGGAGGCCGTAGGAAAGGCCTCGGAGATGAGAAGTATTGAGACAGGGAAAAAGGCTAATTTCATTGCGGTTGATCAAGACTTAAGTTGTGGTGAATTTAGTGGAGCGAAGGTCCTGAAGACGTGGTTCGAGGGGAAGATGGTCTGGAAAGACGCACACAATGCCGTATCTATTTAGCAGGATCAAACTACGGGTACTTGTCCTGGAGACCATGTCCCTGCGTTACTTAGGCTAAATACAACCGGTGCTCTAATTTCCCTTTCTCGAGAAAGCCTTGATACGGCATCACCATCAGAAAAGCCCATTTCGCTCAACCCATCCAACTCATCAGCCTCTCGCAGGACTTCGGGCGGGGCCTCGACTTCAAATACAGCCTGTATGTCGCCGTGCGGCGAGAAACCCGTGAACGTCCACATTCTCGAGACTTTGGCTGCGTCAGGTCCAAAGGTCCATAGGCACCGGCGTTCGTAGAAGCCGACGCAAAACAAAAGAGGTGCATTGACAAGTCGTGCAAGGAAGACATGGATCGAGTAGAACTCGAGCGACGACAGGAATGGTTTGACAGGAAGCAGTATGAGCAGAGCAAATAGATTGAAGGGTGGCGGATATGCAAAGATGGCGTCGCTTTTCACGCCTTCAAACGTGAGGACGGTTTTTCGAAACTGGATCTCAACATCTTCAGATGTTACTATGGTACTGAATCTGTTGGTGAGGAGTGAGACAAGGATGGTGAGGAATAGAGTATTGCCGAGAAAGGCAAAGGCAATGGTCAGTGCCGGTCCTAAGATGACGTGAAACTGAACAGATGCCTCAATTCCTGTCCCATCCAGGCCGAACCAGATCCACAGTAGCCATTTGATTATGGTGAAGTCGTTTGGAATCGAGCCATCTCCTGGAGAAAGCCATTGCAGCGCTAATAGGAACCCTGTAAAACACCATATGGCGAGGAATGTGAGGATCAGAAATTCTTTCATCATAGCGTGCAGCGAAATGAAGACGATATGGTCTGGTAGAATGTTGAAGGCCAGTCTAGTCAGAAGAATTGGCGCGGCGAGACATAGTATGTTGTGTGCCATGCCATTCTGCACACTGCTTACAGAAAGCTCATAAGCCCGGACTGTGATGTACGCCATGAAGATGACCGTGTATGAGAGATCCAAGAACGACCATAACGTTTGTGAGTGAATCATCCATCCATGCTCAATGATGGCAGCAAGTTCATGGAGTACCCAACCAGCAGAATAGAGAATGAAGACAACCTCATTTCCGGTCAAGTTCTCAGGATCTCGATACTGCATCGTGTAAACATACAGAAGAGTGAGAATGATATAGTGCACTAGCTCGATCATGTACCGGGTGCGCGGAACCACGAGACGGTGATGGTCAAGCAGCGGTGCTTTTCGCGGCTCGTACAAAGACACCGGGAGATACTCATAATGATTCGGCAGTATGTCAACGAACGACAAAGGGGTGTAGACAATCTGACCACGGTACACCGCATCAATCACTCGTCTACATCCCGAAGAACTGACAAAGTTCTTGCTCTCGGATATGATGGCGAGCTCGAGTGCGGTCAGCTTCCTCTCATGGCCACCGCGCTTTTGAATCGGCCATTGCGGATAGCGCCCGTACTGCTCAACTTCGGGTGGAGCGCCATGGAAGGGATCAAAGCCCTGGACCAGGATCTTGGAGAGCAACAAGAGACCGTCCAGACCTGGGTTGTCGTCGTGAAAGTTGCGCAGAATTTTGATGGCCAGGAGCTCGCATAATGTTGCTCGAGCGATGCTGGTGCTCTGGTCGATGACGCTGGACTGTTCACGCAAGAACTGTACTCGGTTTGCGAGAAGACAGTAGACTGCACTGGTCAGTATTGTGGCAAGGCATATAGTGACAAATGTCTTGAGAGAGTGAGTTGCGCACCAATAGAGTAGTCATTCTCATCATACAGACGATCAACGAGCGGACGGACAATGAGATGGTTGACTCGCGGGCTCTTCAGCTGTTCCAGAGAGTAGGGATCATCTAGCGAATAGCATTAGACGATGTAAGCCAGATAACAGACAGAACGCTGGGATGCACCTATGCTTGCGAGCACAAATTTTCTTATGCTGCAACCGACGCCTAATTAGCGCGTTGAACAAATTGTAATGTGAAGGATTGGTACCGATGTAGGGTGACAAAGATGGAGGGTTGAGGCCATTCGCTCTCTTGCTCAGTATCTGTTTCCGTCCTGAAGCTTGCAGTCGCGTCATTCAACAAAGTGCTCTCGTCTGGATCGATGGTGTCCCTGAACTCTGAGGATAGGCCATCTAAATCTTGGCTCATCGTACTCTCACAAGAACATAGATCAAATACAGGCGACAAAGGAATAGATGCATCCACCAAGAAATTGCGACTCAGCACATGTTTTATTCACGGAAGCGGGGTGGAGCTCTCATGTTAGCTGGGTTTGTGGATCAAAGCCCTGAGGTCGATGATGCTATGCTACAAGTAGAGAGCAATTGGCCATTAGACACAGTCATTTCCACCAAACTTTTTCAATCAACTCAATCGCGATTATGCTTATTGCCACATTGCATTGCTCCTTTGATCTGCTGCTGGCCCGTGCAGTGGTAAGTGAAACTTGTCTCTTCTCTCAACAGTCATCGTGATACCCCAAGCGAGCCTCAGTTGGCATGACTTGCAGGAATTCTTGGATGGGAGGGGGGGGGGGGGGTTTGAATCCGTTTGGGGCTGTGTACTGAGTGAAGCATGGACTGCGCCCCCTTCGGTTGCACCCGGCTTGGCCAGCTTCAGGTATTTTATAGCTCCAACATGTCAACGGAAAGGCAAATGCTCTTGTGCTGTGCCCGTGAGTATGACGTACGCGCCAATTTCCTTGCCTGTCTTTGTTTGCGGGGAATGGATCGCCAGTGTCAGATGCTTGGTCTTGGTTTTGTATGTAGTTACGTAGTAGCACGGGTGAGATTGCACAGAGCAGCGGTGTGACCTAAGGTGAGCATGCATGGTATGATATGACTGGGCGAGAAAACAAGCACGAAGCGGTGTTGAAGAGGGACGGGCTGAAACAAGAGGGCGTGTACGTCAGAACAAGTATCATCTGCTACTGAACTTCAAGTGCAGTGACAGGACAATTGAGTGGATGCTTATTACAGAACAAGCTTTTTAGCGCCGGGGGTAGAATTCAAGGGTCTACGATGAGGTGATAATGCACGCGTGCACGCCTCGGAGAATACTGAATAGAGACGAGCGCAGTGAAGCCAGTCCAGACTCAAGCGCTCAAAGACAGGCTCGTGACAGTTTGTTTACGAGGCCGGGTTTGCATGGAATTGTCTCGACCATGCATGCGGCATTTATTTTATTTCGCTGGCCTTTTCACGAGCGCGAAATTACGGCTGCGACGATGCTGTTCTTGGACTGATCATCAGCCCTTTTGTAGTGGCATCAATTGTAGCTGGCAGGTATTTATCTCAGCTTGCGATTAAGCTTAGAGACTACAGCGGTACAGTGTGGTCTGTGCCCTGTGGAGATGCCCTATAGCTTTGACAGGATCAGCAACCGGAAAGCTAATAAGGTACCCCTCACAGGCGGCCTCTGGAATTGCAGGGAGGTTTGGTCGCGAGTGAGACAGATTGTGTAATAAGAATCATACCTGGCTTTGTGCTCATTTGGCATTAGCTGGGTTGCTAATAGCTGAAGAATTTGCTGGGCTCCGATATGTCCTGCCTGTCAAGTCTTTGGTGTCTTTGGGCAGTCCTTACAACACTCACCTTTGTTTGTTATGGGATCGCCAACAGATCACCATGTAGTCTAACTAATTGCCGCTTTCGCGGCAGGGAAGAAAAATATTTTGTATTTTTATCTGAAGGGAATGTGCATTACACTATGAAGGAAGCTCCCTGGGAATGCTCCTCGTCGCAAATCGCTAGTCATTGTCTCGTTGCCATTTCGTAGTGTCCATAGACTATCACCGTCTCGTAGCATGTGAATGATATGCACGCTCTCGTGCAGCAAATGAATACACCGCCTGTGGTTTCGTCAAATCAATCAGAGTAGCCAGATCGACGCGGCTTCATAAAAGAGAGGCGCTTTGTCAGCTAGATGGATTTCATCGGGGATGGTGATAAAACTGACCATAGTGGGCAAGTCCGCGACCTTCCAATCAACCATGGATCAATGCATTGTGGATGGAAGAGGTGGCCGCACGGTAACTTCCTGAGATTTGTTCCCTCAATGAAATCTTCAGTGCATATAGAACACGCCGGTGAAGCACGCTCATCTGCCTGTCGTATGCTTCGCTCGTTGGCGCTTGAAGAACGAATCAACAAATTAGGCATGGTAAAATAGCGCTGCAGCTTCTCGAGTTTTGGTTGTCGTTGCTTTCGAAACATGTATGGAGTCGTTTGGGCTTGCGTGTGAATCTGCTTCCAGTGCGTCCCATGATGATAAGTCACGGTCGGCATGCTCTCCACGGCGAGCTTTCCCAGGCCGGAGCTCGTTCGAAACCGTGGAAGTTGTGTTTCCAGACGCCGCGGCATATGATTATTTCGCAGTAGCCAGTGTACGAAGCAAATGATGCAGATGACCAGAATGACTACAACACAGAGGATAATCCCCCACATTGTAGTCGTTTTGTTATCATTGTTGGTGTCATGGCTGTTTGACGGGTCCTCGGATTGTGCCATGCGCGCCACGAGTATCACTGCTTGGAAAATGAGACAGAAATAAGATGAGAATGGATATCGGGAGTTGTTTCTTCATAAGCATTTTCCCTGGCTGGTCTAGACGGTTGGCTCTTTTTTTCTGACATCAAACATCTGAAAGAAGAGCGCTAATTGGTGTGTATGCGGCATTTGTTCCCGAGGGTCTGAGAGCACATGTCTGATCTCCCTTGGCATGCCGGGAATGCGGTCAAGGGGATCGCTGAGGGGTGAGTCTAAAACTCTCGACTACTCCAACGTAAGGTCAAAAGAAGCTTGGCCCAAATTGAGGCCAGCGTCATCACGGTGCATCTTGTTTATTGCCTAAATCGCCAATTTTTCCGATATGTTGGGTTACCGCTAGTATCAGTGTCCCAGAGCCTCAACGACTATAGGTAACGGCCACTAAGTCCAAATTAATAAATAAAGCATATCATATTACTTGCTGCTCTTGGAACCGTATCTAGTGAAGCTTAT